CACCATTATGTAAGGAAGTGATAAAATGAGTCAATAAGGTATGAAAAACAATGGATGCATGTAATCATGGGAACAATCTTTGGCTTATCAAGAATCTATCTAAGCTTAATTTGGTTTTTGAAAGCTAGTTTAGTGGCCTAGCATAGAGGATAATGCTTTAACAGCAGAAGTTGGCTGCCATCCCCAACACTGAGCAATAGGCAAGGGGTGCTTCTAGATCAAGTTGAAAAAGAAAATACAACTTTTGGCAAAAGGGACCACAGTGAGAAGTCTGGCAAAAACTCCTTGAAGACTGATGATCTAATGTCAGTTTCAGCACCTGCCTTTAGCTCTTGTAAGTGCAACCAATTCAACCTCCTCCGTTTCTTTTAAGAACATCTGGGAAGGAATGTTGGAAGCCATGGGTTAAGTGGGGAAAAGAATACCTCTCTGTACTTGTCTCTAAAAACAGTTTAGATATCAAATTTAAATAAACATAGTTTCATGTATTAAAGCAGCAATCCTATGTAAGTTTAGACCAAACACACTCCCTAAAACTTCAAACATACCCCAGCCACTATAGCTTGCTTGGGAATGCTGGGAATTGTGGGCCTTTTTCTTGTCTAAATTTCCATAGGATTATGTCCTTAATGCATTAATATATGAATAAAAATAAATAACATCTGTCATTTTCTATGCATGTCTCTATGTTCCAGGTTCTGGCCACAAGAAACCAGTACTGTGTAGCACAGACACGTATATTTACTATTTCTTCAGAAAAACTACTGATATATGTTTGCGCCTTGGCTCAGACACTGTCCTCTGATTAACCCCACAGGACTAATAAGCAATACAACTTAGAAACATATAAAAAAAGAAACAGAGTGAGTTAGAAGGGTCCTCCTGGGCCATCTAGTCTGACCCCCGGCTCCAGCTGGCTCCACTCATGACATGTCTACCATGTGCATATCCAGCCTATCCTTAAACACCCCTCACAGCTGGGGTTTCAACTACCACCTGTGGAAGCCCATTCCATACCCTAGGGGTCCTAACCATCAGGAAGTACTTCCTGGCATCCACCCGAAATCTTGGTTCCCTGAGCTTTGCTCCATTGGAACGTGTCCTGCCCTCCACTACAAGGGGAAAAAGGTCATAACCCACATCTGTGTGGCACCCCCTCACATACCTGTACGTCGCTAAGAGGTCCCTCTGAGTCTCCTCCTCTCAAGGCCAAAAAGACCCAGCTCCCTGAGTCTCTCCTCATATGGCTTACCCCACAAACCAACCACCATCCTTGTGGGACTTCACTGCACCCATTCCAACCTCGCTATATCCCTCTTGTAACAAGAGGGCCAGAACTGAACACAATACTCCAGCTGCAGGCACACCAGAGTCATATAGAGTGGCAGCCACGCTTCTGGCTATGCATCCAAGGTGGCATTTGCCCTCTTGGCCACCACATCACACTGCTGGCTCACATTTAGCCTGCAGCCGACCAGCATCCTGAGATCCTTTTCACAAGTGCTGCTCTCCAGCCGCTTGTCACCTAACCTGTACTTATGATGCCCATTCCTATGCCCCAAGTGCAAGACCTTGCACTCATCTGCATTGAACGCCATCTTGTTGTCCCCAGCCGACTCCCACAGTCTGTCCAGATCCTTCTGGATCTGGAGTACCTGCTCCACAGTTGTGGCCACTGCCCCCATTTTAGTACCATCTGCAAATGTGACCAGCAGACTTCTCACCCCCTCCTCCAGGTCATTGATGAAAAGATTGAACAGGACTGGTCCCAGGCCAGAGCCCTGGAGGGCCTACTTGTCACCTACCGCCATCTGGATGATTCTCCACTAACAGTTGCCCTCTGTTTTTGGTCCATGCCCTAATCCATTGGACAGTGTATACGTCAATCCCAAAATTCCTCAATTTCTCAATCAGGAATCATGTGGCACTTTGTCAAAGGCCTTGCTGAAATCCAGGTAAACCACATCCACCACATCCCATCTAGCCACCTCGAAACCTTGTCACAGAATTCCACATGGTTCATCTGGCAGGACCTGTTTTTGCAGAAACTGTGTTGAGTGGCCGTCAACCTCCCTTCACTATCTAGGGACTCCAGAGCATTTCCTATTATGAGCCTTGTAGAAGTACTTCAGAAGATGCTAAGTCTGCAATTCTAGACATATTTACCTGGGAGTAGTCCTATTGAATTCAACAGGGTTTGCCTCTGAATAGGCATGCATAGGATTGCACTGTATATAGCAGGGCTGGCCAGACTTGCTCAACAGAAAAAGAGCCACATATGGTAGATGTCAGATGTCTGAGAGTGGCAAGTGGGTGCCAGTGGACAGCGAGCTGTGAGATGTAATATAAACTCAAAGAGCCTCATGCAGTTCCTGAGCTTTGGCTTGGCTACCCCTATAGCTTAGCCATTTAACACAAGGGCCCTCTTCTATTATGATTTCCACACCTTTGCTTGTACTTCAATATATGAAAATCCAATTGAGTTGGAAAAAAAAAGTTCATACTTCATTGCTCTACTCTGTTCAGCTGATAGTTCACCTACAGCTTTCAGTGGGAAATTACTCAACTGCTTTCAGTGGGTTTTAGGCTTCATGAAACAGGCAAGTTGGTTCTCAACTTAAAAACAGAAATGATATCCCCCCACCCCCCCACACACACAATATATCCAAGATTCATGACTAACTCTATTAACTGCATTTCCTGTAGGCCTGGAAATCACATTTTATGCAAAAGTACAATGACTTTTTATTGTAGTGGCTGAATATGAAGAACAGGCATGAGTACATGCAACCGAAGTGTATTAGTTCAGAATAAAAACAGGCCATAGGTCACAGAAATTCTAGTTTACTGGAAGTTTTTCATAGAATGAGATCATCAAGAAAACCATCAAGGAAAATCTGACATGTGGCACAGTGCTCCAGGTTCCATATTTGGATTGCCTGGTAAGGATTAATTAATATATGCAGCTTAGTCCCAAAGATGACTGGAATTAACGGCAAGGAAAAAGCAACAATGCATTCCTGCATCAGGGTATTTATGCAACTCCCAGTTTACTGACAACAGTGTATTTTTTTTAAAAAAAGAGACACCTTGCAACTTGTCTGCAAGAAGCATAAATAAAATACTGCTACCTATCTGCAGCTGTTTCATCAAAGTCAATGTAGGAATGAGATCCCTATTCATTAGGCTGCAACTTGTACAGGTGGTTTTCTAATTCAATTGCTAAGATGTAGAATGGCTTGGCTAAGCAAAGAACCAATGCAACCAAAAGCTACTTCTGCTGAATGTAACATGGGAGTGTAAACCATTAATCCCCACAGGATGCTTGACTACAAACTTAAACATCTGATCTCTCAATTTAGCAACTGGGACCAACGCACAAAAAATACTGCTGGGGTACCAAAGTAAGGAAAAAAACATTAAGAGATGTTTCTCAGTCTCCATACCTTTGCAGTGACATAGGATTCTCAATAACCTTATGTCCAGATTTGTAATTTAATTATTAATATCAAAATGCCAAACAACCCAGAGCAAGTTAGCTAAAGTCCGCCTTCCATTGGCAAGGTCTTATTTTCTCTTTTCCAGAGACAACAACAGTTCTTTACTACAGTGTACTGAAGCAATTTCTGGTTAAGTGGCTAAGTTTCCTTCAAAAAGAGGCTTACATTTGATCCTACCCTATCATTCAAGATGTGTGTTTGTTCTCAGCACCCCTGAAAAACCAAGTTTCATAATATGAAGGGCCTCAAGAGAAAAGAACTACGAAACTTCCACAGTATTAGTCATCAATCCTCAAAACTACTTACTCTAAAGTAAGCAATAGAGCTAAGAGGATGATACTACTCCTGAATAATGTATTCAAGTCTATATCATAAGGCAGGGAAAGCAATCCAGTGACTGCCAGATATTTTGGACTAAATAATTCATAATCCCTTACCAGTGGCAATTCTGCCCAGGCTGAATGGAGCTGTAATCCATAAAATCTGGAGAACACCAGTCTGCCTATCTCTTGCCTAAGGTAACACAAAGAAAAGTATTTCCTGATGAAGTTTTAACAGATGAAAGTACAGGATTACTGATCTATGGTTCTCACCAGACCAATTGAGAAATCATGCTAAGCTACTGTGGATTAATTACCTTGCAAGATTGTATGGCATGCACCAACCACAATTTTAAATATGCAAAATATGGAGGGCATGTATCCTCAGAACAACCAGGTATTTTTAAAACCTTGCATAACCCAGTGGGTCCAGGTATGCATGACATAACAAAGCCTAGTGTGTGCCTGTCATGGCTTTCTTGCTAAAAATGGAGGCTGGCACAACCGTAGCCCACTGTGACTTAAATAAAACAACTATGGAGGACTGATTTAATTGTGTAAATTTCAGACCGTCATCATCCTTTAGATTTAATGGACCATCTCTGTTCTCAATTTGCTTATGTCTACAGAACTGCTTAGCATAACCTATCTATATCCTTTCTTTCTGGTGAGTAATGGCAAATGATTTTCATACAAACTTATTTTACAGCACACAGCAAAGAGTTTTCCTTCATTTCCCTTATATGGCCACTGCCATATTGGATTTCAGTCCCAACACACTGACAAGCCACATTGGAATTTTACAATGTGAGCTTGTCTAATTATCCATATCAACCAGCAAAGAAACAACCTAATAAGTATGCCCCATCTCAGTATATATTATTAGCTTAGCATTTGATGGCAGGAAGTCAAACCGGTTTTTTAACTTGAACTAGAGCTGAACCTGATTCATAGTTGCATCCTCCCAACTGAACCCAAATACAAACAGAAGAATTGCCTCAGCTCCTATTTTCAAATTAAACTGGTATAACTTCATATACATACAGCTATACAAAGTATCCTATACCTCCCACTTCAAAATAGCACCATCTAGCTTAAGTGTAAGCAATAAGGTCAGCTAAAGCTTCCCAGAAGACAGAAAGGCAAATTATCTGGGATAAGATTAAGCACAGACACTTACCCATCTCTGCCTTTACTGACTATCTTCACTTCAAAGTAATAAATACCACAGGCTGCAGGGATGGGGTGGGTAGCCCTGACTGAAGCAGCATCTTTGTGATTTTTCCCATGTCCTGCAAAAACAAAAAGGAAAAGTGAGATCCCAAGCCCTTTCAACTCCTTGGTGACCACCATCGCACTAGGGCAGGGACATTACCAGAGCCAGAATCTTTATGTTGGGAAGTCTAGAAACAGCATAGCATGCCTGGCTGATAAAGCAGTGGGCCCCTGCACTGCAGCATGGAGGAACACCATGGCCGTGGTTCTCTCTTTGTCTGTTGACAATGACAACCAACTAAGTTTGAGGCAAAAAAGCCAGCAACCCAAATTCCAGGGGAAGGGAAAAGAAATGGTTTGCTGCCTCAAAGCAACCCAAAATGCACCCTCTAGTTCTTGTAAAGGGCTTGCCACCAAGGCCTCACACCTATCAAGGCTATCCCCAATTTCTATACAAAGCCTTCTATGCCTTGAAACCCCCCCCCCCCCACACACACACACCTCTACCAGAGTAACAGGCAGGTCAGATTAAATCTAAACCCCCTAGATATTTGCACTCCCCGTTTTCAAAAGCACAACCCATGGAAGACTTCCTGGCAGCAGGGTCGTTCATGGCTCAACTCCTCAAAATACTCCCCCGAACTAAGCCTCACTGCCAACAAGGCCTGACAACGCCTCCCTCGAAAGCCCCTCTTCTCGCTATCCCCCCCCCCTCCTGTCCCGGTTCTCCTGAATCCGAGCCCTTTGCCACCGCCCCGGTTCTCCCCCTCCTCCTCCTCGCCTTCTTCCAGAGACATTTTTCCTGTCACCCGCAGTCCTTTCCATCATCTTTGTCCGCCCCCGCAACCCGAAATCCCGCGTCCCCGTCAAAGGATACCCCCAAGCAGACACAAGGCCCTGTCCCAAACCGGCCCCCTCCCTGCGTCTTCTCTCCTCTCAGCCCGTCCCTCCCTCACTACCTTTGTAGTGGACGCGCAGGTTGCCCTGGGAGAGGCCGATGTAGTTATACTTGTCCTTGGGGCTCCAGGCACGCGGCAACGGCGTCTCGGCCGGGTTGACGGCCGGATAGAGGCGGCGGAGGCGCTGGCTGAGCTCCTGCTCCTCCGGAGGAGGCGGCGGCGGCGGCGGCGGCGGCAACGCCGAGTCTCCCCCAGGTAAGCTTGCTGCACCCGCGTCGGCCATCTTGAATCCACTATTGTGTCAGCAGGAGGGGAGCGGGCCCTGTTTCCGAGTCTGTCCAATGGGAGACGGGCTTGGCCACAATGGACCCGAAGGGCAGGCAGGGAAGGCGAGTCCCAGCGCCTCTGAGAGCCGGGTCAACTTCGGGAAGGAACGACTACAGGTCCCGAGAAAACCCGCACGGGAAGGGCTCGCCTACTCTTGACGTCGCACAGCACGCCGGGACACTGAGTCAAGTAGGGACTCTTGGGCACAGAAAGGGTAGGACAGCAGGGCTCTCCGCTGTGTGGGTTGAACGTTCTTGCTCCATAACGCTTGTTACGGAGGAAGCTCCACTGGGCAAGACATAGTAAGGGATGGGGCAGTAGGGTTGCAAGCCTGTACGTACTTAAAGCGAGAGCCAGCCCCAGTGGACAACGTGGGGTTTACTTCTGAGTAAAAATTGCTAGGGAAGGCTGGTGACTCCTTGTGTCAGTGCGCCTCCATATCCATTACAGCTTTTGATTTGAGCTTGTAGGGAGGTATCTGTGGTGGTAAACTTCTTCTGGCGGTTGAGTTCAGCACCACGGATACCTCCATAAAAGCTGCAACGGATAAGGAGCCCTTGAAAAATCCATAGCGATAAATCGGTCAAAAAGGAGGCACGACAAATATCCGTATTCCTACCCAGTGCGGTGCAGGAAAGAACAAATACACCCCATGAATGCTAGCAGCGTATTGTCTCAAGAAAACTGTATCTGTCTTACCACACTAGTATAGCACTATAATGGGCTAGTTTTACGCTTACGATCAGGTCGCCTCGCGCTGCAAGGCTGCCTTTGCAGAAGCAATGATAAGAAATGCAATACAGAACCTGTGGCATCTCCTCAACAGCGCCGCACAACGGCCAAGGCTTTCCCTTACGCCGTTCCCTAGGTGAAATGCTTGGCACCAGCCTCCGAAAGCCAAGCACCCCGCGCAGAAAACGCCCTGCTGCGCCAAGCGACCCCGCCCCTCCTTGGGCATCACTGCTCTTGCGATGCCAGGGCGCCCAGCGAAGACAACCAGCGCCGGCGCCACTAGGGGGCGCAGCGGTCTCGGCCAGGAGGCGGCGCCGGTTGTCATGGCGACGCAGCGTAAACAACCTCTTCCGCCGCCGCTTCGCTGTGCGCCTTCGCGGCCATGGAGAGCCGCTCCTCGGCCTTTCCGGGGTGAGTCCACGAGGGGGGAGTAAGGCTGGGAGGAGACCCGTTCGCTGGACCCCTGGAAGGACCACCTAAATGTGTGGGAAGATCGCTTCAACGCGCTATTTTGACACATTTATGCCTTGCTATTCTGCCTGAACATAAACAGAACAGCTAAATTAAAGTATTGCTGATTATATGTATCTGTATGTTTGTCATGGCATGAATTGCAAATGGATCCAAAAGAACAAACAGAAAAAAGACTAATTTTATTATGTTATTTAATGCTGGGGATTTCTAGAAAATAATTTATCAACCATCAACACAAATTTTCACACCTGATGGTAATGATTTCAGGAGATTCTAAAATGGCCTTCCCTTTTTTATCCACCAAAGTCTCCAAGGTATGTCTGCTTTCACCACAGTAATGTTTCTTCACTGCAGATATTCTGGAAGGATTGTCAGTTTATTCAAAACATCATATAAAAGGGCTAGATCAAGCAGAAATTATTTGGAAGACAAATGGTTAGAGAGACCATTGAAAAAAGATCTCTTAGAACCTATAACCCATCTGACATCCAAGACTTTCCCAGTCCTAATTATCTGCTCATCCAGTTCCTCTGAACATTTCCTGAACTCTATTTTGTGGTGACCTGCTATATAATGAATAAAGCTTGTCCATGCATGCACAGAAATGCACACTATGACCTTCTGAAACTGTGTCACCAACACCCAACTCCTACCTGTGATTCAGAGAAGGCCACACAATGATGTTGTGACATATTTCAAGGAGCCACAGTGCAACTCCTGATTTCCTTCCTAGCTAGCTCCATCGCTAACAAAACATAACAAGATTTTGTTGGAGGTACTGAAGATCAAAACCATGTGATTTTAGGCAGTTTAGAAGCATTGTTGTTACACTTTCTGCATTTTTCCCTGTGAGTCCTATTAAGTCAAGAACAATGAAACATGATTCCTTTTGTTTATCATATTCACATTTTAGATACACTATTAATGTGCTTTTATCAGAGTGACTTGTGGACTCATCAATAAGAATTGATATCTTACGACTGATATTTTGTATTGCTTTACAGATGTTTGATTGCGTTATTGGTGTAATGTAATCAATAATTTGAGCAGTGCCGAATCGGGAATACAGACTTTATTTATTTATTTATTTAGAAAATTTCTAGGCTGCCCCATTCGCCTAAGCCTCGGGGCGGCTTACAAATAAATAAATTAAAATACATAAATAACAATATAAAATACACATAACTGTATAAAATATACAGTTTAATAAGCTCTGCACCATTTAACTGCAACAGTTTAAAGTGATCAGAGTAGGGTCTGTTATTTTTTGCTAAGTAATCTGTCATAAATACCTTACAAGTCCATTTTCTTTGGAATGCATTACAGTGATCAATGGAAGCCTTCATGTGTTACTTGTTGGCTTTATCTAATATTTTCCTCTGCCTGCTTATGTGCAAGTGATTGGAGGTACTTACACACCTTTTGGAGTGACTAAGTTGTCCCGAAGTTCCATTATATGCAACAGAATTACTACACGGTTCCTTGAAAATGTTTTGAGAGTTCTTAGACACTGGACTTTGGCACACACTGCACAACCAGGTCTGCCTCCCCAGCCATGGATTGCCTCTCTCGTTTTCCCACATTCTTGCTGACCAAATACCTAGTCAGACATTACTGACACCATCTGACTGTCCTTTGCCACTCTCACAGATACTGAGCAAAGTACTGGCTTCTTGGTCTACAGTTACCCTCTGCTGCAACCAAACTGCTTAATGGGATGTTATAATAAGGATTCGCCATCTGTTCTGCAACTGCAGCATTCTGACTCTCCACAGCTTCTTTTGGCTTTTTGAAGTAGGAATTAATAACAGTTTACTTTCCATTCAAAGCACTTTTTGAGGTCTGCATAAATGACACACAAAGCCCTATAAAGTTCAACACCAGCTAAGCACATAGGAAGAACTGAATACAAAACAGCATCTTCCCAATCTGTAAAACAGAGAAATGAAACTTAGCTGCTACAGCTGAAACATAACTATGAGTACTCCCTTGCAAAAAATAAATTAAAACTTTCTGTGATTTTGAAGCTGTTCTCTGCCTATTCAGTCCTTCACAACTGAAGTGCAGGCATAAATAACCAGGATTGGGAGGCAGGGGGGTAGTTTTTGGAGCAACAGAGGCAAGCTGACCGCACATTGTGGAGGAGCAGAGGCTGACCATGTGGGAAAGTGTCACAAAAGTCACATGTGCATGCCTAGCAGGTCTCTCCAGGTAGAGAGTCCCCAGAAACTGCTGGGAACTCTTTAAAAAGCACCACTGTCCTCAACCTGTCAAATTCAGGACTTTGGCACAGTGGAACCTGTCAGCCACAAACCAGCAGAATTAAGTCTCTTGAGAGGCAGTGGGGGAGGGACAGTGACCCTGGCTTCAAAATGAGTGGGGGCACACCAACCCCCCTCAGGGGCTCCCTCCACTATACCTTTGGTGTTATCTCTAATGGGCAAATGTATATGAATAAGTGGAATAAATTATTCAGGAGAAAAATTTAGTAGTGTAAGTACTATGGCCATATTAATTAGATTAGTTACATGCTACCAGTTCATGGAGATTAGCTGCAGCCTTCCAGTGTATTACTGACTTCTAATGTGATCCTTAGTGTTTTCGGTTTGTCTCCAGTTTTTAAACATTTGAGCCATTACTCTGTATTGGCCAATATCCTGTTGCATGCTGTAATTTTCACAAAAACAGTAGCAAAAATGTCTTGAGTTTTTAAATAACTAGAAATCAGTAAGGTTCAGCAATATATAAAGTTGCATGACAACATTTTCCCTCTTTTGCTTCCAGGGTCTGCACTCAGGAACTTGGGAAAAGGTATTACTAGAACATGAAATATTTATTTACATTTATATTTGGTGTTACAGGAAACATGCTTGCTTTATAAGCTAGCTTCCCAGCAGTTGTTCATAATAATAACTGATTATGTTTGATTATATTTCTTTGTTATGGTATTGCATTTGTGGCTTGCTGTTTTTCCTATCTATCTAAGCAAATAATCCAAGGGCCTATGGATACTGTCTGAGAGTCCATAGAATAAAAGGATTTCCTCTGTCAAGGTGAGAGGCAGCATCCCAATCATTGAAGGAGGAGTTAGAGATCTGGCCTCTACTCTCCCTTGCAGCTAGTGAAGAAAAAAACATACCTGTGGGCCTCCAAGGTTGGAAAATTCACTTTGGGGGGTATTCTGGAGACAGGAAAGCTATGAGCTATTCTGAGCCTGTCAGGGTTGTGTTATAACAGCAACATCCCAAACCATGAACATCCACTGGAATCCATTATTACCAAATGGAAAGAATGTGCCTCAACCCTGCCACTGCTTAGAGAAGGCTGTCGAACAAAGCAGCCTCAGTGACTTGCTCAGGAGGGCATTAGTCAGAGAGGCAGCCAAGAAGTCGATGACAACTCTGAAGGGGCCAGCTGAGATGGGAGACACCCAGACACGCCACAGAGTGGGGCTTTATGGAAGTGTGGTGGACCATTGGTGAAACAAACCCATGGAAGCCTGTGAGGAATTTGCAAAAAGTCTTGTGGGAGATATAGCAGACGAGTGAAGAAAGCTTCTCTGGTCTGATAAGACTCAAATGGAACATTTTGGCCTTGCTACAAATGCTGTGTAGCACAAAGCCAACAGTAGTCATTGCCCGGAGAATACCATCCCATAGTGAAGCGTGGTAGTGGCAGTATCCCGCTGTGGGGATGAGCTTTCCCAGCAGACACTTAGTAACTATTCAGGACTGAGGGCAAGATGAATGTCTTAGAATGGCCCAGTCCAAGCCCAGACCTCAGTCGGAGAATCTTTAGCAAGATTTGAATTGTCTCCCATTGTTCACCAATTGCCCCCCCCCCCCAACCTGAAAGAGCAGGAGCAGTTTTGCTAGGAGACCTGAACAAATATTGCAAGATCGAGATGTGCACAGCTGACTGAGACTTCCCCAAGAATACACATAGTTGTAATTGCTGCCAAAACTGCGTCTAAAGAGTAGGGAGGTGGAGCAAATATTTATGCAACCTACAAGCACCAGTTTGTTTTTGTTAACTTTTGTGCCACACTAAAAATAATATGCACCTTCACAGTGTTGAGTGTCTTGTGTACATCAAGTAGCAACAAGGCCAATTTAATTCATTTTAATTCCAGGTTGTAACATAACAAATGTGGAAAAGTCAAAGGGGATGGGGTTGAATATTCTGCAATGCACTATAATTACCAGGGTAATGTAGGAACAATTAACTTGAACTTCAAATTAAGAAAATAAGACCTTAAATAAGGGAGGATGGAATTAAGGACTTAAAGATAGCTGCAGCCTGGAAGACCTTTTCCTTGAAAGCCAGAAACATGTCCTACATGTAGCTCTCTTAACCCATCTGCTGACAGTCGCCAGAACTGAAATAGCAACAAGCTGGAAAGCACCTGACTATGCCTACAATATCAGGGTAGAGGCAGATATGGGAGTGATCTTGAAGTTAACATGTAGGTCCACAGGATGTCAGCAGAACTCAACATTCTGCCACTTCTGTAAAAGACATCCCTTCAGAATATATGGGTAATGTAATTTGGTATTTTCACCTAAGAGCTCCACTGATGGAGTGCTACACCTATGTAGTGTAGTGGTCAAGAGCATGGGACTGGGACTCAAGAAATCTGGATTCCTCACTCAGCCATGGAGGCAACTGGGTGATTTTGGGCCAGTCACAAACTTTCAGCCCAACCTACCTCACAGGGTTGTTGTTGTTGTTGTGAGAATAAGATTAAGAAGACGGCAAATTATCTGTAAGCTGCCATACGTTCCTTGGAAGCCAAAAAAAGCAGAATATAAATATAAAAAATAAAGGAGTACTCCACCAGAGTATTTGTCATGGTTGCAGAGTACCTTGTGTTCTGCCACTAGAGTGAGACTTCCACCAAATTCTACAGTCTCTCAGCTGGCATGGCTACAAAATAGGGCTGCATCCTTGTAAGCTGATGATCAACTAGAGTTCCCTGATTCAATTGTAATAGGGAATTCTGGTTTAAACAAACCAGGTTCAAAGCTGGCATAAAAGAGAAGTGGGATGGAGGAACAAAGGAGGGGCCCCCAGGAACAATGTTCATTCCTGATTTTATAAGGAAAAACTAGCAATGTTAGGTCCTCCCTTGTCATGTTTGAGTTCAAGAATTTGACACTAAAAAGACTGAGCTCATGTTACTATACTTGCTGCCCTCTAAATGTGTTGGTTTTGGCTTCCATCTTTCTTGGCCAGCATGGATGAGGGTGATGGGAGTTGTAGTCCAACACATATTTAGGTTATTGGTCAGACCAAGCTGAACTGAGGTATCTGTTCCTAGCCAGTATTCTGGTTGTGCTAAGTGCCATTCCTTTGAAATCCACATGGGAGACAGGAAAGCAGGAAGAAAGAATGACATTGTTCACCCTTTCCTTTGCTTCTCAAAGGCATTGCCATTCTCCTCCTTCTTGCCATTATCCAGTTTAGAGAGCACAGCAAGCTTGCCCAGTCTGAAGAAAGCAGATGAGAAGAAATTGAAAGCTTTGGTGAGTGGAGCATTTGCATACAGAAGAATTGAGATGAGGCATCTATCCCAGTTCTGGGGTTTCCCCCATCATCCACAGCCAGAATGACCATTGGCTGTGTTGCCTTGGAGGGTGATGAGAGTTGTCCAACATGACTAGATGCGACAGAGTGCAAGGATGCAGGGATCCTTCATGAGAAAGGAAAAATATAAAAGGGAAGCTTTTGCCAGCTGTAAAGAGTGCCTCTAGGTCACTGGTCTGGCAGCCAGCCCCAAATCCAAACACCATACGTTTCCCACAGCGTAGGGAAAAAACCACCTTGAAACCCAAACAGGATTACAGGCTGCATTTGTACTGTTCTATGTGCAATCTTATGCACATTTGGACAGAAAAACAGTTGCAGAACTCAGATTCATATGACTTTCTTCTGTCCAAATATGCAAAGGATTGTGTCCTGGGTGCTAAACTGCCTGGGAATCAAAGGTGGCCATGTGTCCTTCTCTACAAAGGACAGTCCTATATTTGAAGGGTTGTCCAGCCCAACTTGGGTTTAAAAGTTACAAGAATGGAGGGCTTTGGGATTGCCCATTAACAGCACATCAACAGCAGCCTAAGCAGGACTCAGCCAAGACCTTCTCTGCTAGGGAGATTTCTATTTTGATTATATTTAAATTACAGACATTATTTTTAAAATTTGTGTCTCTAGCTACATATTAGCACCTGTAATTTTTATGCAAAACAGCATCCTTTTTTATGCTGGTCTATGACTGTAATGGATGCAGGTGGTGCAGTGGTTCAAACTGCTGTGCTGCTGGGCTGGTTGATCAAAAGGTTGCCGGTTCGAATCCACAGGACGGGGTGAGCTCCCGTGGCTCCGTCCCAGCTCCTGCAGTTTGAAAGCATGCAAACACAAGTAGATAAAAAGGTACCACTTCGGTGGGCAGGTAATAGCGTTCCGTGCACCTCGGTGTTTAGTCATGCCGGCCACATGACCACGGAGACTGTGGACAAACGCTGGCTCCCTCAGCCAGGAAACGGAGATGAGCACCGCCCCCAAGAGCCAGACATGACTGGACTTCACGTCAAGGGGAAACCTTTACCTTTACCTTTATGACTGTAATAAATAAATGTCCTTTTAGTGTGGATCATATATTCTCTTTTTGGGGAAGGGGGATGTGCAAGTGGCCCCCTGACAGGGTTCCTGTGTACACTCCTGAGTTCCTCACAAATATTGCAAAGAAGAGATAAATAGTATTTGAGATGATCAATTTTCATGCGATTTTCTAACATATCTCATAGGGTCAGAGGGATGGGAGAAAATGGGGAGGGTTTAACACAAAGGCAGGATATCATGTATGAGCTGACAATAGGTTAAGATACATAATCCAGAGCATACAATGTGCTGCAGCTGGAGATCTGGAATAAGCAAAACATGTTAAGCTGAGATGTGTGTAGAACAGAGAGTTCCAAATGCCTCAAGCAGGTGTCTCAAGCCATGTGTTACGTGGACACCCCTCCCCCCCCAAACAAAAAGGAAATTTGCTGAGGGAGTATCACTTTCTCTTCATCCTTGCAGGCCCTCTCTAGCAGCCATTTGTCCTCATGGCCAGCATATGCACCAGGGCAAGCAATACTACAGAACCGCAAACCTTGTACTCTCCCGCAATGGCAGAGGTATTTATGTATTATTTATCATTTATTAGGGGGACTTCTATGCCGCCCCATTCGCTGAAGCCTCGGGGTGGCTCACAACCATAAATAAATAGAATCCTATAACACAATATAAATTAAGCCGCCCTGGCCAAACAATAAAATAAATAAATAATATTAACAATTAAAATAATGTTTGAATAAAAAGGTCTTCACCTGGCACCGAAAAACAAATAACGACGGCACCAGGCGGACCTCTCTGGGGAGTGCATTCCATAGATTGGGCGCCACCGCAGAGAAAGCCCTCCTCCGAGTACTTACCCTCCTATTTCCTTCACTGAGGGTTCCCGGAGAAGGGCCTCTCCCGCTGATCTCAAGGTATGTATGGAAAAAGATTTTAAACCAGCACATTAAAGTGAAGTCTTCTGGGCCAGAGAAAATGTCTCCCTTGCACAATTATTGGAAATATTTTCCCACCCACAGGGAGGTTGGGGCATAGCTCCACAGCAGAGCATACCTGACATGCTGACAAACCCATTTTCATGACTGCACTGATAAAGTTAGCTAGTGTCTTTGCCTACAGATCTGGGAGCTTGAAAGTGCTTCTTTAAAAATGGGTTAGTGATTCTAAACAAATCACTGTATGCCTGGCAAAGATTGTGAAGAGCTGCAGCATTAAATCAAGGGGGAATCAAAAAACAATGCATTTCTATTTGCATTGTTCCAGTTAGCCCCTCCTTCTATGGTAGTTTTCAACGGGTAAAACATCTGTTGCTTGTCTTATGGTGCAAAGAAGGACCTTAAGTGAACTGCATTGTACCAAGGGCATTTTTCCATTACAAGCCAGTTACTAGATTTATACCAACTATAATGGCTTTCTCCAGAAAATCCTGGGAACAGTGACTCGGTAAGGTGTGGGGATGTCTTCCTCTTTGGAGGCAGGGAGTGGGAGTGAATTAATAAAGTTCCCTCCTCCTACTTGCTCTGGAGGCAGGGCTTCCTTCTGCAAATTAAACATTGTCCCTTTTCTGTGTTGGAGACCTCTTTCCAGTCCCAGTCCTGGGTGCTTAGAGATGGATGTTTTCAATCAGAGTGTCTCTCCATCTCAAATTTGTCAGTGGTCTAATTGGACTTTTCTGGTGAATGTCCTGATCAAAATTTTCTCCAGAGATTTGCCAGTGGTACTTTGGTAAGATACTAATATTTCTAACCTCCTTCCAGAGCAGGAAATGGCCCCTGAACCAGATTGTCTCTTGGAGCTCTCTGAACAATTACATCTCTGTGAATGGCATTGACAACTCTGCTAGCCTAGATCGAATATACATTAATGGTGACGTTTTGGAAGAGACGCCAAAGAATGATGCCAAAATGTGAAAATGTGCCAAGGTGAATTATATTTTCTATCTTGCAGTACCAGCAGAGATCATGTTCCTTTGTCCATCACAAAGCCACGCTACCTTGAAGATCTGGAATCTCATCTGCGGAGAGAGCTGCAAGTCCTAGACCTTACTAAAGGGAAATTTCAGGAATTAAAACTTCAGGTCTGAGCATTAAGCAGCTCTATCACAAAAGGTGGTGACTGTTAAACCTTGAATGTTGAATGGAACACATTTATATAAGCCCATCAAGAGCCTACTTAAGCAGGATGGAAACAGAAATGTACTGTTGAAAGCAAAACAAATGTAAGAATATAAAAGATGCTCTGCTGGATCAGTACCATGGCCTATCCAGTCCAACACACTGTATTCCAGAGTGGCCCCTCAGATGCCTCGAGATAGTCCCCAAGCAAGACATGAGTGCAGGACCACCCTTGTGCTCGTGTTCCTCAGCAATATGCTGCCTCTGTTCCTGGGAGTCAGATGTAGCCATCAATAGCCCTTTCCTGAATTAATTAGTCTAAATGTCCTTTAAAGAAGTTGAGGATACAATCCTAGAGAGAGAGAGAGAGAGAGAGAGAGAGAGAGAGAGAGAGAGAGAGAAAGATCCTGCAGCCCTCAGCATTCCCCAGCTAGTCATGCTGGCTGAGAAATGCTCAGAGATGTAGGACTCCTTTCCAGTCTAAACATGTGCAGGATTGCACCGTTAAGTCGGCGGCTGTCACCGCAGCTTGTGGGAGTGAATTCTGTAAGTTAGCTATGCACTCTGTGAAGAAGTGCAGTCCTTATTGCCTGTCCTGAATTGTACACCATTCAGCATCACTGGATGATCCTCAGGTTCTGGTATTGCATAAGAGAGAGAGAAATTTCTCTAGTCTGCTGTTTCTCCACATGAAGTGGTGCTGGTCATTTCCAAAAAAGCAAAATAAAACAAACCAGAAGGTATATTCAGTAAACTAATTTGCATATTGTTAGCAATCCTTCTATTCAAACAGCTGAAGAGAAACCCAAAGAACATCTGGTAAGTGACCTCAAGTTTATGTGCTAGGTGCACAACATTTTGGGCATGGAAGTCAAATGGCCGCTTTGTCCAGTCGTGATGATATCAGAGGACAAAACCACACTCATACACACACACACACACACACCATGCCTCTGATGAGGCAAGGTGCCAGATGGAGCTCTGGAGAGCACTTTAGCTGAGGCTCTGCTTTGCTGCTTGGAGGCTTTCCCTGTCTGTGGAAAGGTTAGGCACAGTGAAGCTGCCCTGACTGAAGGGGTGACTGAGGAACCCTCCAGTCGCCACTTCGGTCATACCGCTACCTCCACAGTGGTGGAACATGCAGTGTGGTCAAAACTGCCCTGATCAAGGAAAGGGATGGCATGCCTCGGCCGCTGCCTGCACTTGTGGTGCTGCTTCCACAATTCGATGAGGACCAGGTGGCTGAGTCAAGCTGCATTTCCATTGCCCCAGTGCTGTGGAGTGATGCTCTGGCAGTTGCCCAAGGATGCCTAGTGTTCTTGGCTGTTGTTGAGAGTAACAGTGTGAATGAGCAAGTTCTTCAATTACTGGGAAAGCATCCATATTATGATACACCACCTTCTTTGGAAAGAGAACCATATCTTGCTGCTGCCAAAAACAAACAGGCAAAATGCTAGTCTCAAGGCTTCAGTATTAAAAATGTACAGCCAACGGAGGAGATGCTGATACTAGTTTTCTTACCTTCTTTTCTCTCCCTCCTGCTCTTCTAGCCTTATCGAGAAGTATTTGAGTTCTTCATGGAAGAATTCAAAACCTACAAGCCTTTCCTGGCTTCCATCAAGAATGAGTATGAACAAACAATAGGTGAGAAGAGCCTGAAAAAGCTTGTAGCAAACAGATTTTTCTGAACTGATATGATCCTCTTTTATGAATAGAACAAGCAGCCAAATGGCAGATCAGCCTTCCCCAATATGGTGCCCGCCAATGGGTTGGAGTGCAACTCCCATCATCCGCAACATTACTATTGGAGACAAATGCCTGATGTCTACCACAAGAAAGTAAAGAAGAGTTTTGGTACTCCTCAAGGACATTGCTAGGTACTCAAAGCACCTGCGACTCAGGTCTATAGGACATACATTCGCATAAAATATATATACCACCTCCCCCATGGATTTTCCATCTCCTGCATGCTGCCAAAGAACCTAAGACTTAGCAGATCATATTGCTCACCATATTGCAAGAGCTTATTTCTTCTTCCCTGCCACAGTTCAGGCCACAGTTTGAATATGAAGAGTTGAAACAAGGGATGTACTGCATTAGAGCCAATAGATCCAAATGACACTAGTCACGCCACGTGAGTGAAGTTTCTACAAAATTTACAAAACCCCCTTCTAGAATCTGTAGAATAAGCAATGAATCACCCAAGTTAAAATCCTAAATAATACTTTCTGAGGCAGTTTTTGCCAAACTGATGTGCTTCAAGTTGACTATGTTGGCTGAAAATGATGGGAGTTGAATCCAACACATCTGGAGGGCACCAGGTTAGGGAATGCTGTTCTGTGGAATAAGTCCATTTCATTTGGGAGCAGTAAATGTAGGATTGCACAGCTCATCTTCTGTAAGAAACATGCAGCGTATGTACATGGGTGCCTTAAGACTGGGTGCATCCCAGCAAGCTTAACTAGAAATTCAGGCATTCTTGAAGGCCAATATCTTTAGTAAATTAAGTTCACAGGTCTTGTGGGCCTATAGTAACTGCGGACTTGCCTTTTACTCCCTGTAGCACATCTACAGGAGAAGATCCACTCCTTGGAGGCAGTGAATGGCATTCTGGTCACAGCCTCTGATCAATATACTCAACAAATTCTGGCTTTTCAACAGCAAGAGAAGATTGAAATAACAAAGCTGAAGGAGGAAAAGCTCTATTTGCTGAAACTTATTGACAAGATGAAGGAGGAGAAATGTTCTCTAGAGGCCCAGGTGAGATGGGACTCTGTCCAGCCTCATCTTCAGCAGTTAGTCTTCAAGAGCAGTGCCATTGCTGCCTCTGCAGGCAGTGGGATTGTCGTGCTGAGAATCTGTTGCTCCTTGTAATTCACCCATCCTGAATGCACTCTCTGGGCTACAGTGTGGTCTCCACTGCTTGATTGTTTTGGGTCAGGAGAGAGGCAAGCTGGGAGTGTTCGTGTAATATATGAGAATGTCTTGGCAGCAAGAATGTTATTGTTAATTAATGATTCACTGGATACAGCAAAGCAATTTGTTAAAATAGAAACTATATAACAAAAGAAGCTACATTACTCAGATCAGGTAGAGCAGAGGCAGAGAAAAGGTAGCTAGTAGATCTCAGGACAATTTCTAGTAGAATAGCAAGGATTTCTGATTCCCCAACAATGGTAAACATAAAATATTTCCCACTATATATCTGAAGGCTGTGTATACCTAGTGTACCAATGTGACAAGTAAGTCTTACAGAGGCTTCCTAGCTAGCCAGGACATGAGGCCAATAATATCTCCAGAGTTATTATGGATTCTTATGGTATCTTCAGAGATAATGAACACAAAGTGAACTCTTTTGATACCTGCATTTAATTCTTGCACTAGAGGGCAGGGCACTCTTCCTTGAGCATTTCTTCCCCAGTTAATTAGCAACTTCAATGAAGATAATCTGCTTTCTGATTGGAGTACGTTCTAGTTAGTGAAGCCATTTCTGCTAAGATGATGAGGATTTCATTTCTGGAACCATCCCTTCATGCCAAGACCTTGTCTATTAACTCACTTATCCCAGACAGTGTCTTGATAACTCCTACTGCCATCTGTAGTTTTAGAAGTACTGGTCTTTCATTAGTTTCCTTCTTCAATGGAAATATTTGAGAACACTGTATTGTCTATTATCATTAAAGAAGCTACCATGATTAATTAAGTTTTCTAGGCCCATGAAGGGTGCCTGCTGTTTGGCTGTAATGTGATTACTGCCTTCTTCTGCTGAAATTGCAGCCATGGAGAAAGGGAGCTTGTCATATCCAGTGATTCATGGCCTTCTCTCTCTCACATTGCTTAGGTGGCTAAGATGAGGAAGACAGTGGCAGAGGAATACCTCCGCTATCTTAATGAGTGTGATGCCCGCAAAATGCTTCTTCTAGATCTCAATGAAATGTACCGTCAGAAGGAAGAATTGAAGCTTGCAAAAGCTCAAGGTAGAAAGGACACCTTGTTACTGACTGCTGAGGGCAGCAGGTTCATGGTGGGGAGCAGCGTGACAAAAACCCTCACCCAGGTGGCCAAATTGAGCTTGAAAGCTTTAATGGTATTTGCTTATGTGGATTTTACAACTGTATTTGATTGGAGCTGGTTTTATTTAAAATGGTTTATATTTAACGACTGCTTGTTTGCATTGGGAAAATTGGTCTTGAAATTTGGCTAAGAAATTGATTAAATAATGAATAAAATAAACCTGGAATGCAAGTTGGGAGTAGCAAAGAAAAACTGTCTCCCAGTGATCAGAAACACTGCCTCCAGCCCATCACAGCAATAAGAATGCACGCCTGCCCCCAGGATGCTGTCAGGTGCATGCACTGTAAACAGGCTTTCTAACAGTGTCAACTTGGAGGTTGTCCTGATTTATGGCCAGCTCCAGTTAGTAGCTGATGGTAAAGCCAGGAACTTAGCCTGTTATTTCACAGTCAAGATAAGTGACAAAGAAATTAGCAAATAACCCATCAGTCGAGGCAGTTCTAAATAAGGCACAGGCAGAAAGAGTGTCCATGTCCTGTCCAAACTACAGTTAAACTGGCCAATAGTTCAATAATTCAGCAGAGGTCTGGTGTCAAGATTCATTTCAAAGTTATGCACAAAAGTGAAATCATTGGGACCATGGTGAGGGATGCTAGTTAATACTCCTTCTCACGATTCTGATCCGGCTTAGGGGTTCCATGGTAGTTCTATTTTATATATACTGATTAAGTGCTGTTACACAATTATCTCCTCAATTAGTTTTGCCCTGAGTCAAAACTAAGCTCAGCTTGGCTTAACATTGCTCCTATTTTCCTTGATATTAAACCCGCATATAGTCCGTGGGATTTTTCTTAGTGACAGAAAGAATTTCTAAGTTATTTGGACAATTGTGTTTCACGTTAAAATGGAGAGGTGGGCTTTTTATTAGTGGGAATGACCACTATAGGAACAACTGGGGGCTCCCCTCATTGTGGCAGAGAACTCCATCATGCTAGAGAATCATACAGTAAACCTAGTTCCCGTGGCAGTTTTGGGCCTATTTGAATCTTTTTCTCTTCAAGACAGCAAGGGGGAAGACACAGTGAAGTTAACACTCGCACTAAAGATGGCTCGCCAGGACCTCACTAAAGTTCAAGTGGAACTAAACACCATGAGAGCAAACTACGGGGATGTGGTGCCCAGAAGAGAGTTTGAATTGCAAGAACAAAAATATAATGAGTTGGCTGATAAGGTATCTGAGTGGTGATCCCTACTGATGCTCCTGAGGTTGGTGGATCCTCTGTCAGTTGAAGGAGGTTTCCAGGGAAGGGATGAAAGAATGCTTAAGCTCCACTTTGAAGCTTGATTCTTCTCTTTCCTGTTTTCCTCTGTGACTGACTTTTCTTTTTGTTCAAATAGGGAAAGTGTTCACTTTATCCCCATTGGCTAACTGATGAACATGTTTAGCTTTGGAAAAAAATAATTTAAAAGTGCAGATTCTTCTCCCGAGCCCTAAAAAGCATTTTAATATGATTGCAAGCTCAGGAATATGTGAGCATTTTTCAAAAATGGGCTGTCAAACATTTCAATAGAAGGCATTCAGCATGTTTTCCATCTTCACCTGCTTAATAATGTAGAGTTGGTAATGTAGAGTTAGAAATGGAAGATAATTTTTGGACGCCCTTTAAAATTCCATATTTGAGGCAGGGTGATTGCAGAATGGAATCAAGTCTGGAAGTGTGTAGTTTTTCTTTGGAACACCTCTCCATTTGCAACTTCTAGTCAGCTTTTCTGAAGAGATTTTACATTCCCATGTTAAGTTTTTCCTTTCATTCCCTTCTTCCATAGCATTTCTGGTAGCCCACAGATGTATGAGCTGTGTTCTGTCTGCTCTCCTTCTCTCTGTGCTCATTCTTTTGGCTTTGCCTTTCAGATGGCGACTCTCCAGACAGACTTTGATAACCTCCAAGAGGAATACGAGACCATCCTGGAGGTATACAAGCAGGTTTCAGAGGAGCGAGACCAGTTCTGCAATGACCTGATCAATGTCCAGCGTTCCTCCACACCCCGGCCTAAGTGGAGCAAGTGTGCAGGTATTCATTTGGTTTATTGTTAATGTTTCTGTTGTTGCTGTTTTTAGGAAGAGGAGATGCTAGAACTTGGTGTCATCAGAGGTTTTCCTGTTCTTCACCAAGGGAACTCAATTTCCGATGCTCAGGCTGCATCATTCAAATTGCTAGAGTATATGCATGTAGTGCAGAACTCAAGATCATGATGCAAAAGATGGGATTAGGAGTTGAAATGTGAAGGCCACAGAAAATAGGAAAAAATCAGGAAAATAGTTTTTCCATTTTTTTCTGAAGCCTTTGTTTTTCCTGAAAAATTGAGAACATGGATTATATAATATTTTCTTTCAGAATGATGAATCAAATGTTTCAGACCAAGTGTAGTTAATGAAAATGTTTCTAAAAACTAGATATTAGATATTTTGTAAGCCTGTATAGCTTACAAAATTCTTGCATACTGAGGACAAGCAAGTCTTAGGTTGTAAGCTGAGACTACAACTCTCAAAAGCAAAAGCAAGCTGTATTTCAGATTCCAGGAAGCACTGACATTGTCACAAGAGAAGGAAGAAGGTCTCAGATTTACATCTCTAGACAGGAGAGAGATGAATGAGCAAAAGACAACATAAGATGAAGAAAGGATGGGCAATCACGGAGGGCACAAAAGCTGCACCTTTTCAATTTCAGTGCATTTTGCAGACTTTCTGTGTAATGCCATGAATTGTAAGCCTATTCACAGTGCTGTTCAGATATGGTGTGGTGTGGTGGTGAGAGTGTTGGACTGGAGACCTGAGAGATCCAAGTTCTAGTCTTCACTCGGACATGAAGCTCACTGGGTGACTTTGGGCCAGTCACTCGCTCTTAGCCTGACCAACCACACAGTAATGTCGTGAGGATAAAATGGAGCTATGTGAGCCACCTGGGGTTCCTCACAAGAGGAAGAAGGGCAGGATATAAATGCCACACAATAAGCATTCTACACTTCCCACCCCAGGAAGTGCACAAGGACCCACTCAAATAATGAGAATTTGAATGCTTATTTTTGCACAAGTCACTGGAGTATAACCATGTTTTTTTGTTGTTGCTCATATGCTTTGCTCATATTCTGATCTTTCCTCACAGTTATGAGAACCCAAACTTTTCTGTTAGTGGTTTAATAAAGTGACAGTTAAAAGATGTTCAGGATCCAAATTTTGCCTCCTGCAGTACACCTTCTGTGTTCAGGACTTAATTTCTGTGGTAGAAGGAGGGCCTAAATCTATCTGCGATGTTTAACTAGCTCTTGTGCATCCCCCTGCAATTCCTACTCTGCATGATGCAGCGGTGCAGAATCTTTCTCAAGATCAGTTCTATGAGGTGAGGTCTGTTCTGTCTCAACATCTTGTGTCTTCCTGTTGTTGCAGATGTGATTCCTGGTGGGCCTGAGCGCTGGAGTGTTTTGTCAGAGGGCAAAAGTAGTGACCAGCTGGTCGACGTGCTGTTGGAAGATCTTGGCACAGCACTGCTGAGAGAGACGGAAACCTTTGTGGGGCGGGTATGGCGGCTTTGGTTGTGGCGTCCAGAGGGATTTCTGGTTTATTGTCATTCTGCAGCACTGCAGGCAGCTCAGGGAAGGTCAGGAGGAGTCTCCACGGGGTCTAGTCCCTATTCCCAGCTGCTGGAGACTTGCTCCCTTTCTTGCAGAGAGGGAGCACTGGAAGAGGGTCTGCACTCAGTGGTTGCTTTTCACATTGGCACTTCTGCCAAGCAACACTGGTACACCGCAGAGGTCTCTAAGCAGCATGCCCATTTTGCTCATGCCAGTCATTGACTCTTAACCTAACCTGCCTCACAGGGTTGTTGTAAACATGCAATGGAGCAGAGGAGGGAGATTATGTAATTTGCTTTGGGAGGGGAAAAAGTGGGATATAAATAGAATAAATAAATAAAATTCTAATCCTCAGCTATAAAGCTTACTAGTTAATACTGGGCCAATCAATATCTCTAAGCTTCTGGGAGGCTAAAAAGGGTGAAAGAGTGATACGAACTATTTAACTACTCTGAGTTCCTTGATAGAAAGGAGATATATCAGTGCAATAATATACCAAAGCAACCTTAACTGAAACTAACAAAACCATGTCTTACCTTGCCACTCAATTTCTCAGCTGTTCCTCTGGCTAGAGGAGCCTTCCCCAGCGTGCTACCCTGCAGACGTTTTCAATTTCAGCTCATCACCGGCAGCAATCATGTCCAGTGGTCAAGAATCCTAGGAGTTATAGTCCAAAACATCTGCAGGGCATCTGTTTGGAGAAGGTCTGGCTACAGAAACTGCTTTTAAAGAAGGCCATCACCTAGACTGGCAATGGTCTGACCTGTAACGCTGTTTTCTGTTGAAACATGCATAGTATTTCCTTTAATAATTACATCAGTAGTACTTAGGGAGAATGCTTTGACTTAGGATCCATGTTCAGTTTTCTCTAGGCTCTGATACTCTTTCTCTTCCTAGGGGAGAAGTGACAAGATCCCTGTGTACCTGAGGTGTGATGGTCTGGTCAGAAATAAGAAACTGACAAGAAAGGAGACTGTAGGCATTTTAAGGGAAATATGGAGAGAGAAAATTGCTTCAGATCAACAGGTCTCTTTGGCCTTGCTCCTCCTCCTCTTATGGATGTATTGCAGGCAATTGGAAGGATGCCATAACAAACATACACTAATACTTGTATTCCACAATTCTTTTCTGGCCTATAAAACAAGCTGTTGCCTCTGCCAAATATTCATGCCAGAGCCTCTCTTATTCCTAGCCACATCCTACTCAATTCCCTGCTCTAAAAGAAAATCGATAATTGCTCTGCTGTGCTAGTGTATTTGCTGCTACCTGTACCTGGTCAGGTTGAGTGCACCTACACTTAGGTGGATGTCTACTTCTGACCTTGCAGTGAGGGAGCAGGTACTGCTCAAAGGAGATGCAGGATGGCATTGCATAGGAGGAAGTTTCCATCAGACTTGCATTTGATATCTCTGTAGCCTACATAACACAGTATAACCCTGGTCTGAGGCCTCCTGAACTGCTTCACAGACCAGGGTGGCCCCTTCAATACAGTTAATTTAAAAACAAAAATAAAATGTAGCAGCCCCTGGGTGAGACTGGTCAGGCTCTGGACTGTGGCATGCAAGGTTTAACCCTTTCCGTTCATGCTGTTCCCAATGAAAACCATACAGGCCTATGAATGATGAGTGGGAAGCTGCTGTGAAACCTCAATTACTATGTTATCTTTCCCCTAAATATGCTTGCCTTTCTGATGGCAGCTCATTGGGTGTGCTGACTAGGGCCGATGGAAGTTGTAGGCCAAAATATCTGGAGGGCCACAAATTGTACAGGTAGAGCTACATCTTTAAAAACATTTAATGGTAGCCATATACTCCTCTTTTATTAGAGCTATAGAACATGGATTTAATTAAGTTTTCGGTTCTGAGCTATGATCTGCACCCCCTCAACCAACACACCTGTTTGCCACAATTATTCTTAAAGAAAATATTCCATTGACACAGGTTGGAGCTCTTTTTCTAAGGCTAATTGAGGTATGCAGGATGGAGATTTCCTGTAAGATTACATTAATATAACGCATTAACAAATTAACAAAACCCTGGCCATAGTTATTAGCTAGTAATGCCATAAGATCAAGTTTAAGTTCTCAGAAAAGAACTGCTTCTAAAACCTCTCCCTCCTTTGCAGAGAGGAAGGCGATCCAGCCTTTCAGAGTTCTTCCTGACCTTCTTCCAGAAAAAGTATGGTGAAGCGCTTGCTTTTGACTGGACTTACACTGTCTATGAAAACATCAAGCTCTATCAGTCCAATGAAGCCATGTCCTTGTTTCACCAGATCCTGACAGGAAATGTGAGTAGTTTGCCCATTGTGTTCCATTTCCTGAGGTGAAGCAATAAATGGGGAACATGGGCCATTTCTTGAAGATGGAAGGAACTCTTGAAGGAGTCTTCCTTTTTTATCCTTCTGATTTTGAGAACTGGAGGTACTGTGCTTGTCCTGTTCCTACTCTGAGAGCCAATTTTGGAATGCTGTGCTGGAAGACCATTGCCCTGTGCTTTGGCAACTATGTATGGGGTTACACAGGGCTTTATTCTCTCCTCCATGCTATTTAACATCTACATAGGGGAGGTTGTTCAGCGATTTAGGCTGAGGTGTCATCAGCCTGCAGATGACACTTAGCTCACTCTCACCTTTCCATCAAATCCAGGTAAGGCAGAACCTGTTCTAGTATAGTACCAGGGCACAGTGATGGGCTGGAGAAGGGTCAGTAAACAGGCACAATCTAAACAAGGCAGAAGGCCTGTTAGTGGGTGGTTTGCCTGCCTAGATGAAAGATGTCTGCCCTGGAGGGTATTGGACTCCCCCTAAAGGATCAGGTTCTTAGTATGGGGCTGCTTTTGAATCTAGCATTGTCACAGGAGACACAAGTGAACTCAGTGGCATGGAGCCCTTTTGTCAGCTTAGGCTAATATAGAAAATCTTTACCTGGACAGGGATGGCCTAACTACAGTAACCCGTGTTCTGATAACCCCTTGGCTGGATTCCTGCACTGTGGATTCCTGCATTCCTTAGAAAATAGTCTAGCACCTTCAGCTGGTCCAAAAGAGGGCAACAACACTGTCAGCAGGGACTGGCCGTGATCACACTGGGCCAGTGTTTTACCATCTGCACTGGCAGCCGGTCTTTATACATGCAAAAGGTTCTAGGGATAATGCTTTAAACCTCATCCTGCTGTTATCACATTCACAGCTGGATGAAGGAGTATACCACAGCCACCTCCAGGAGCTTAGCAACCTATTAAAGGAACTGACCGCTGCTGACACTGCAAATACTGGCGAGCTGATGAGTGAACAGTTCACGTAAGAGCTTGGAGGGGGAAGGTGAACTTGTAGCCAAATGGAAAGAAACACAGCTGCGGTACTAGAAATCCATGATTTTTAAAACAAATTTAGGTATAACTAAATCCCTTTGCATGGGGGGAGGTTACATCTTGGTGTTATCGCATTTGAAAGATACTGGGAAAGAAATGGGAGACTGGACTCTTCCCTAAGTGTTTAATCCACATGCTTGGCAGAGAAGTTTGTATGTTAAATGTTCAGGAAGGGCATATGTGAGATAATTACACAAACTTAAGCAGTTTCTCTCTCCTTCTGTAGCCTTGCCTTAAAGGCAGCTTTCCCGCTAAAGACTGATGAAGAGATACAGGAATTAACTGAGGCAGCAGGCTACAAATCAGAATATGACACCATCATGTACAAGCTCTTATTCTTAGAGGTAGATTGCTCAGTTTCCTGTGCAGAATGAAAGACACTTCATTCAGGATTTTTTGTGGGATGATGGGGAACTAGGTCTGTAAAATTAATGACACGGTTGTACAATTTTCAGGTAAAAAAGCAAAAAATCCCAACTGTATTTTGTGGCTTTGGAAAAAACCACTGGTGTTGGGGATTGGCAGACAAGACTGGTTCTGCCACAAAGGCCACAAAGGTTTATATGCCAAAGTTGGGTGGCAGACCAAGGGGGAAGGGGTAGAACAACCCATGGGAAGCCCGTTCATTGTTCCACATACAACCAACCTATGATGGCTTATTCACAGGACGACTTCACATGACGTGCAAATCCACCCTCCATTTGCAGAAGCAACGCGACTCTGAATAGCAAGTTCAGAAGAACAAACATAAGGCTATTACCTTATTTTATCTAGCTGGCTCCAGAATGCTGGACCAGATAAATCTTTGACCTGATCCAGCTGTACTTTTACAATACGCATTTTGCTTCAGGCCTTGCTCTGTCGTAGTGCATCCATGTCATCTTGCCGAAAAACACACTGTGTGTCTGTTTTTTAAATGTCTTGAATTATGTGCTGAATGCATAATCTCCAATTATAGTTACCAGGCCAGAGTCAGTGTTTTGGCCCTTGCTTTGTTTTTGTTATCAAACACAAAGAAAAATTTGCTATGGGGCTGGAAAGCCCATGAGGTGAGGAATCTGTTAGCAGACAACAGGGTAGGTAATGAGAATCATACTGCCAAGGCCAGGATGACACTTTTTAGCAAAGGATAAGCTACTGCTATGCAGCTTCAATAGCAGAATGTATGATCATATTCCAAAAATGTACCTGCAGGTTTGAGTTGTCTAAAATTGTTTAGAAAGTCTGTTTTAAAAGTTTGAGCAAGCCAACTTGGTTCTTCCAAAAATACTACATCCAACTTGGATTTTCTTTTTGGCTAAGTTGGACTATTAACTAGGACTGTTTGCAGTCAGCAAAATATATTTACATATTCAATAAAATTGCATCTGTTGACAAAATGGAGATATAGTTTATCTGCCCTAATTTCCCTGCACTAAACCACAAAAGGAGCTTCATCAAACAAGTAGAATTCTAAAAGTCTTGTATGCTCTTGCAGGATGAGGAGGGGAAAACAGAACCCTTGATCATGAAGCTTAAGAGCCAGTATATAAGTGAGAAAAAAACATATCTACAAGAGCTACGGGATGAACTAGGAACCTTGATGTGAGTACAGAAGTCCTGAAAAATCATTTTGCAGCAGTTAGATGCAGATTATGTTAATTGCACTCTCTTCCCATTGAAATAATGGAAATTACATATCACAAATGTGATGATTTCAGTAATACCCAAGTCCAACTGACTTGCATAATCTTGAGCATGTATACTCAGAAGTAAACCTTTGCCTTCAAGTCCACTCAGCACCCCCATATACTCCAAAATCTTCTCCAAAATTTAATTCTCTCCTGTATTGAAAAGGACAGACTTCCCTAATCAACACGAAACTTTGCAGACCGAAATTTGAACCAAGGATTACTAGGACAAGAGACCAGGTCATATGTGTGCCCTCTTCTATCCTGCTGTAGGGCAGCCTTCCTGTGGGAGGCAACAGGGATTCATCATAGCAGGAACCAGGGGTGCCAGTGTTCTTGTTTTCTCAGATAAAGTAGGCACAATGAATCTAATTCTAATAGTTGTAGATGTTTGTTTGAGGGCCTTTCTCTGTCAAACAAATAGCATTCCCATCTGTGCAAAGCAGGGCAGTATGCAATAAGTAAATCCTTTACCCTGCCATTTTGCTTAGGAGCAGCTCACTGATAGGTAAGGCTTGGGCAAGTAGGCATGCTCAGAAGAGAATAAGTGCTCAGAAGTAAACTTGAAATAATACAATGAATCCAAGGTAAGCATAGCACTTTGGACTTTTAGTACAGTCCAAGAGGACTTCTTACAAACTTCTCTCTGATTGCTTTCCTCTCTTTACATATAGGGAAGTGAGGCCAGATGACCTGAAGGCAGCCCTCTGCACAATCGACCATGGTTTGACAGAGCAGACACTGGATTCTCACATCTGTTATGCCTTCCAAGTTCCCAAAGAGCAACTGGATCCTGCTGCAACCATTCCGATAGATAAACTGATGCAAAGGCTTATGACTGCAGATATCAGACGACAAGGAACAGTTTTAGGAGAAATAAACTATCTGCCTCCATCACACACAATAGAAGAAACTGAACTCCCTGCCAGTACCTAAATTGACCTTCATTTCCTCCCCATGCTTCCCCTTCTAAAATTTATTGGAGTTAATTATTAAAAGCGATCTGGAATAAAACTGTCATACAGGAGTTCAATGGATAAATGAACTCTAAGGCCCACTGGAGATTCCTGCTGGAACAGTGATCCCAGTTCAATTTCTGTCCCAGAGGAACCTGAGAACTTCATAGGATAAAAACACTTAAGATCTGTCATAAGCCTTTGCAAAACAGTGGGATTTGCATATTTCAGGATAACTCTTTTTTGTAAAGACAGCACATCAGATAGATTAGCCTCAGATAATGAACTGTTTAGAAGAACAGGCTAATTTCATAGAAGGGCTGAAGCCTGTTCATAAAAACTGACAGAAATTTCTTTCTCCGTAACTCTATGAACTCTTAGAATTGGACCCAATGGAGAAGCCTTAGTAAATTGGTAGCTTACCTAACATGGTACAGAAATTTTACAGTATATAGCTTTAGAAGATGTATGCTTTATTGGCTGTTTTTTAAATGTTGGAGCAGGGTCTTACTGAAGCTAATTCTAGGACAAAGTAAAAAAACAAGCAGTTATTCAGAGGGAAGAGAAACAAGCTTCATAACAGAGCAGCCAAACAGACAGGCAGAAAAACTGGGATGTATTGAGCTAGTATAGCCATTTAAAATGTCTGGGGCCATGCAAATGCCTTACAAGGATTTCTGCAAGTCATAAATAAAAATGGTTTAGCTACTTTCTGGGAGTCAAGTATATGTCTGCTGAATCTAAATATTTGGTCTGCAAAAGCAGAGGTGGTTCATCAGGTAAGGCTGAAACTGGTTAGTGCAGTGACTGGATTCAGGGCTAGTAATAAAAGTTTGAAATGTAATACACATGGGTGATCAATGGTACTGTTATAAAATAATGAAGTTTTATTTCTTTGTCCTGATAACTGCCCCAGGTCTATTTCTGCACTGCTCAAGTCCTAGATTTTTCCACCAGGGCCAGGTTCAGTTACGATTCTGCAGTTCAACTTTGATCAAAAATTTGTCAATGCGATATGCTGCCGCTACCACCAGCATCTCCTCTACAGCCACAGAGAGGCTATATAGATGCCTAATGTAGCCATCTCCCAGTAGCCAAAGCTCTTAGGGCTGGTCACAACAATACATAAAAACAATACAGTAACAATGCCATAAACCCTATCAAAGGAAACAAAGCAGCTAAAAATGAGCCTGTAAAAGAAAACTCGAGTTCAAGTTCAGTTACTTACTTTGCCCACACAGATTATCCATATCAAATCTGTTTGAACTGTAAGAGACATCTGAATCAATTAGCCGTAATAGTACAATATTAAATACAGGGAATCCAGAGATAATATACTTAAGTCTCTCTGCTTTTTCTTGCTGGAGGATGAAATAACGAGAGAGCGCTGTGTGTTTTATTCAAGTACACTATAAATCAGACGCAGAACTTGTACATACAAAACATTACTTCATAGCCACAGTATAGATATAAGAACAAAGTCGCTTCTGTAGGACAGACAGTGGGGTAAGGGGCTTAACAAGAAAATATACATAATTCTGAGATTTCCATAGTTTCTAAGGACTTGCTAATAGGAGTATATATACTATAGTTTACAGTGTCTTCAATGTTTCTGACTCTGTGTTCCATTCCCCAAACTGGGGGGTTGCCAACATCTCATCTTGACTGGGGAGGAACCACTTTATTTCCACTAGTAGCAACAGGAATTAGCAATTTTCTGTACTCCAGAGGCAAGTGACGTTCTATCAGCACATTTAAAGGTAACTTGTCTGTCACCAGCCCTTGTCTGGATAAAAGAGCAGAGGAAGGATATGGAAAGACAAAAAGGACATGTGTGAGTTCAGTACTTACTAGTTTATTTACAAATAAAGATCATTATGTCTATTAGCCCAAAGCACCTCCACTTTACCTAAAGGAAAGCATCTCAGGAAAATTTGTACATTATATCCATTACCACTGAAATTTCTGATTGTAGATTCAAACAATTAAGAGGCCAGCTGAATTTTTTAAAATGGCAAAATAAGTTGGCATAGGCTAAGTTAGTCCAAAAGAAACAGAGGCATGAAAATTGGACAGCATGATTCTGTGCATGTTGGTGAGAATGCCTTAGGATCAGGGAGAAGTAGCAGCTCTGATCTCACGTTTTCACCAATAGACATTAGTCCAAAATTTGAATCTCTGCATTGTTACTGCAATCACTGGCAACATTCACACAGAGCTGTAAATTGACTTTCCAGAGGAACCTGGCACAATGTGCATGAGCTATGTTTGTGCTGAGCTTTCCTTCTGGAAAGTGAATGTTTGTGAAAGTTTGGTCCTCCTTGCTAAGGTAACTGTTAAGGGAGGACGGGTTTTCTGAACTGCATGCCATACAACCTGGATATCCTATCTTGCTGTTCTCTTTACAAACCTCAAGCTATTCATCTGATTGCCAAAGCTGACTAACTGCTAGAGAACTTGCACAGTTTCAGGCAGTGCTCTTGAAATGATGTCTAAAACACCCCTTACCGCCTCATGAGGAGCTCCATATCAGCAGGCTCTGTTATCTTTCGTTTAGCATGATTTGTATAGGCCTCCAGATCATTGCTCAGATGCTTGAAATACAAGTTCACACTGGAAAGGTGAGATACAATCAGTTGAGCAGGCTACATCAGCCTCTCATTCCAAGTTGGGCTGTGCTGCAAGGACTCAAGAACACTAAGACCCAGCTCCACAAACTGTAATCAAGTGGTATGATGGAAACTGACAACACAAAGTCTTTCAGTAACCTCTTCCCTCCCACACCATTAATTTACATATAAGTTGTTCACTGGACTCACCATTTTTCTACAACTTTGAAAGCATCCTTGGTCACTGGCATCCCCACATAATGGCTGAATATCTTCCTCACCAAATTACTGGGGAGCACTGGATCATGTTTTCCTCTGCGTGCTCTTGCAGTAGGCCTTGGACATTGTTTAACCAAAGGCTGCTTTGAAGGGGACCTCCAAGAGAAAGCGGAGAAGTGCTGGATGTATGTTAGCAACAGACTCTACAAAAGCAGATGCTTCCTGTATCATAATCAGAGATCTGAGGGAGACGTCACTTCCTCAGGGACTCATTACATTAATTTTTCTGATGCTGGTAATAAGGAGTACCTCACCATGTCAATAGCAATGTGAGTAGCTCCTCAGTAGGTATGCAGGGAAGAAATCAGATGGAACACAGCCCTCCAATGTACTTCTGCAACTCCTTTCTATTGTACTATATACCCCTAAAGCAATCTTGCACATAGAAACATAGAAACAGAGTGAGTCAGAAGGGGTCTCCCGGGCCATCTAGTCTGACCTCCGGCACCAGCCGGCTCCACTCACGACATGCCCACCATGTGGACGTCCAGCCTATTCTTGAACACCTGCAGCAATGGGGCCTCAACCACCTCTTGTGGAAGCCCATTCCACACCCTCGGGGTCCTGACTGTCAGGAAGTGCTTCTTGGCATCCAAATGGAACCTTGGCTCCCTGAGCTTTGCTCCGTTGGAGCGTGTCCTGCCTTCCTCTGCAGGGGAGAACAGGTCTCTACCCATCTCCATGTGACCTTCAAAAAAATATTCTGGTTTGGACTAACCCAAGTTATTCATAAGCTAGAGAAGAGTAACATTTTGGGCTCTGAGGGCTACATGTGCTGTTGTGCAGTGGGGGTCAGGGCCTGACCACACAAGATGGGATGGCTGGGGAGAGGGAGCCTAAGGGCTCTCTGCAATCACCATCCCAGCAATCCTGGCTGCACAGGATCAGTGGGGGAGATTCCACCTTCCATTCTCCAGTGATTCCCCGATGCATCTTGGTTAATTTTATGTGGGGATGACTCTCCCCATGTGTCCCTTTCCCCAACTCAACTGGGCTTTGGTCTGGAAGAAATGGTTTGTCAAACTGTCAAAAATGCAATCTGAGCTGGAAGAAGGGTTATGCAGTTTTTGCTCTCATATGCCCTCTTCCCCAGTACAGTTGTCCCATCTCAGTGTGGAGAAGCAGCTGTGGCAGGCCACTCCTAGCCCACAGGTTGCCCACTATATCTAGAAATCTAGGGAACCCTGTTGCTTAGTCAATGGAATCCGTGCTTGGCAGCTCTGCATTAAATGTGTGGAGAGTTCTTCATCAATTAACTGCAACTAGCAAGACACCAGACTCCTGAAAATTGAGAAAAGGATTTGTGGGCCTGAAAGTATAAATTTAATGCAGGATGTTTGAATTAGAAAGCTGAATGTTCTGAAGAGACTGAGCGCATGCCCCCTTTTATAGCAATAGTCAGTAGCTCAGCAGCTCTTGTCTAGAGTTCTGTCCGACACTAAGTAAATACGTACCTGGAAACTGTGACCTTCGGATCATGTGGTGTGGACAGCAGGGGTGAGCACTGGAAAGCTCTAGCACGCACAAATGCTGGTGTCTTACCAGTTGGCTCTATGAGAGAAAGAAACACAAGCCCTGTGTCCGCCAGCTCTATTAAGAATTAAAGGTAGGCTAGCAGCTGGTGGGTGAATAGGAAAAGTTATTGGGAGCTACCTTTTCATAGCCGACTAAATCTCCCACAGCAAGAGCTGAAAGGATAGGATTTTGTACCAGGATCTGACTTTCAGGCCTGGAAAAGAATCAAAATGAGATGCCCAAGTGGCAGGTGTATAGGGTCTATGCTGGAAAATGCAAGCCCTGGCCTCTGTCTTCCAAAGTGTAGGCCCTGCTTAGTTTAATTAAACTAATGAACTCTAGTTATTTTTTCTGTTGCTCTGGTCAGGTGCAGAGTGCATTCTTGGCAAGAAAGATGAGTCAAAGAATAAACATGCATCTGTACCAGGCGTGTGTGTACACCTTATCAGGCCTGCTCACAAGCTTATGGTATAATGAATTTACATCTCATCCTATTCATTTGGGCCCAATAAGACACTTAAGGTAGGAATCTTGACAGGCAATGATGGGAAAACATCTTACACATCACACATTTTTGTTTACTAATGAGGTAAGTAGTTTTGCTGCTTAGCTCATGGCACCTCTTAACATCTATCACCTGTCTCAAGATTACAAGTGTCAGTGCTGTCTTTTTAATCAATATGACCAGAGTTCCAAAGTATGCTTTGATGTAGGTTTGCTGTAAACATGTAACCTATATAAGCTGGCCATTCTCTTTGTGTGTTGTTTTGACACTGCCATCTCACAGGCAGCTTCGCTGACCATCCATGCAAGCTAATTGAAGCTGCCTGGCAGTCCAGTTCATGCTGTGTGTTTTAAGTAACTTGCTGCTAAACTCTTGGAAAACTAGCTCACTTGTATTTTGTACACAATAAGGTCTCCTTGTAAGCAAACCTGGATCTGGCTTATCAGCTCCTTGGGATCACAAAAACCTCTAGCTCACAGCAGAGGAAACACAGCAGTTCAGAGCATGGATACTACGGACTGAGCATATTCCTATAACACCTCAATAGCCAAAGTAGTTAAAAATTAAAAAGAATACTCTTGGATAAGGCTGAATCATGGCATCCTCAAAATTACAAAAACACCCCCTTTTCTGTTTTAAACACCTGGAAAAAGGGCTTCATTAAGAACCAGATTTAAATTCTACTAATCCATCTTTGCAGTCCCAACAAATCTCACCGGAATTTTCCGTGTCGGTTTCGGCCTCTGAGATCTCCTCAGCCTCGGGATCCATTTCTGTTTCTAATGCTACTTCATCCAACCTTCTTCTTTTGCCTTCATTACTGTTTCGTTGCATTATTCCACCTACTGTTTCCTTTGTGTGTAGAATCTCCAACTGCTTAGGATTCTTTGAACTTATGTGACTGCTAAGAGTTAGAGCTTCAGTCCTCTGAGAGATGTGAGTAGCTACAGGACAATGGCAAATAGACATGTACCTTAATTGAGCACTTTTTAGAAACACATTCAAATAGTGCTTTTTGAATGCTTATCTGGATTTGCTACTACATTCACACTATTCCCAAATGCTCTGCATCTCCCAGACTTCCACAGCTATAGGCATAGCCTGAGACAGTGACAGCTGGACAAAGCAGGTACATGAAAGTCACTTCTGTATTTCATTAGAAAAAAAGCATAAAGGAGCATAGCCAGGGAACTGATGTGCACCCTGCTGGCATTGCTCAGTCCCATTTCTGCTGAGATTACAGTGGACATGGCTCATACATTGCATTCTCTGCAACCTTATGATTTACAACCAACAGACCAAATCCACAGGATTTGCTAATTATGAATTAGCAAACAATTTACTACAATTGTACTAACTCGTACTAAATCAGCATAGCCCTGTGATTGTGCCAGCTTGAACCGGGAATGGAGAAGTCCAGATGTATGAATCCAGTCAGGCTTCTTCCATACTTGCTCTTCTGATGTCTCTATCCATATGTCCTCAATCAAAACCTCTTTGATTACTCAATAAGCTATACAGATGGTGCTTAATATGGCCCAACTCTGCTCCTCATTTTGTTCCAGTGCTATCTTTGTATCAGTTCTATAGATAACCTAATGACAGGGGCAGGACCAGGTTATTTATTTCAAAATCATAAGAGTATGAGAAGATGCACCATGGATGAAAGACTGCAAATATTCTTTACATACTCATAAATTACCTTTGATTTCCTTCAAAGGTTATTTTCATAATCTTGGAATGCATCCCCTCTCAAGAAGGATTCCTACTGACAGCATCAGGTACTCACCCCTTTCACTGGGGAAAGGTTCTTCCTCCAAAATGGCTTCTGGTATATCTTGACCCATGATAGCTGGATCCACACTGCTTTCCATCTCTTTGATTATGTGCACTACCATTTCTTTCACTGAGCTCCTGGCAGACTTCTTATGCAGCAAAGCAGACAGGTGGCCTTGCTGTGCTTTCTGTAGGTCGGCATCAATTGGTGTCAATAATCCTGCTGGGTCCTTAACAAGGAGTTCGGCATTAGTAAGCACAGATGATCTCCCTGGGTTGACATCTAGGAGTCTGGCATCTGCAGGAGTGGATGATCTCTCTGGGTCCATATCTAGGAGTTTGGCATCTGCTGGAGTGGATGATCTTACTGGGTCCATATCTAGATTGGCAGAGTTAAGTTGGACAGGAGTTACAGATGTTTAGGCAGTGCAATCTGCAGGCAGAAGAGTCCTAAACTTCATCTTCTTCATGCAAAAGGAAAGGTTATTAGTAAAACTTGTCCCAGATGTATTCCAGAAGCTATAGGTATCTTATTATGGTGAGAACATTACTGTATAGGATGAAACAAGGGAAGGAAAATACCTGCTAGGCATGGAAGGATTTGAGGATGCACTTCCCTCAGTTCCACCACAGGTTACTTACCAATAGTTAGATGCTCTTCAGGACTTAAGGACTGCTCCATATGACTGTTTCTATGCAGAGACTCTTGCTGACCTCTCCTGAGAGTAACAGTCCTTTCCTGGGGAACAGTTTTCAATCCACCAACATGTTCCATGCCTGGCCTTTGCAACTCCTCACCGTGACTGCGTATCAACTCTCTCTCAGCATCAAGCAGACTCTCTTGCTTCTCTTCTCTAGACATATCAGCCTCTTCCTCAGGTGTAGCTTCCATCACATCAACACCTTCAGCATCTGGTGTCTGGACCCCTCTAGAGTGGCTCTTAGTCACTTCTTCAACATCCATATCAGACTCAGCATTTTCCCAGGTTGTCTGATCAGAGGGCAGCCTGTTGGCTGAAGATTGCCCAGTCAAGGCATGCTGAGAATGGGCAAGAGGAAGTTCTACTTCATTCTGCCCACTGGACTGAGAGTGGGCAAAGAGCTCCGTGTTAGCAGAGAGCATCTCTGTGTGATTTGACAAAAGAGTTGCTGTTTGCAAGTCCACAAGGTAGCTTTGTGCTGTTGGAAACATTTCAAAAAAGAAGAGATGATGGTTTGGAATGGACATACCATCCTGACTTCAACCCATGTACCTACACTATTCCATGCATCACAGTAAGAACTGTTCTGCCTTCGCTTCTATCCTCAGAAGCGATACTTACTCTGTGACCCCTTTACTCACAGTGTGCCACTCAAATAAATACAGACAACCCCAGGCCAGGAGAGAACCAAGGAAAACTCACAGTCTTTTATTTGCAGCAAGTTTTGTTCGATGCCTCCTTCAAACTCTTTAACATTAACACCTCTGTAATTCTTTGGCCTGCGGATTAAGCCTTTTTTCCCAGCAGAGTGCAGTGGTGCTGGGGTAGTAAGAGAGATCTGAAGAGACCTGAGGACATAAGAATAGCCCACATGGATCAGATCTTACTCATCCTGTGTTGGATTCAATCTCTCCTGGCAGCCATTTGTACATTAGTGAACAAAATGCAAAACGCTCTGAATAGAATCTCCAGTGGGGCACTTGCATTCACCTTGCTCTTGGACTCTTTCCCAATGAGTCTCAATGGAGCAGCCAGTTCTCAAACCACTGGACTAATGCAGCTCTTCTATCTTAGCCAGGCTCAGACTAAACCCAGGGAACACAAGAGTATACTTTCAAAGCTGTCACACACCCTCTACCCATCCACACAAGTGGTTGAGCTAATGCTAGTGCCACAAATTCAAACTAGAAATAAATTAAAACAGCACAAGAACAAGCTACACTCTGAGAAAATTCATCATGGAAGTCCTTTCTGACAATTATATTGGCTTTTTCACAGAAATGCTGAATACTGTAAGAATGAAGGGAGACCTGACAAGCATAAACTATTTGTTGATTGAGAACAAAATGAACACAAAGACAAACTCCTGGATTCTTGAGGACACCAAATGAGAAAGTCTAGGTATAACTTAATGGCATCTACCATGTGTCAACTGCTACCCTGGTCAGGTTCCAGGCAGATTTAAAGCCTCTGGCAAGAAGAAGATGAAGCTAGATAGCATGCGTTGTGTGAGACAATGCTCGTTTGCTTTGAAACAGGTCTTTTTAAGGAGCCTGGATATCTATCATTCAGTTGATGTTCCAAACAAGAGTGTACAACAACTACAGGGAACATGTGGCTTTCCTGGTGTTGCTAGACTGCATCTCCAACCAGTCCTAGTCAGTACAGCCAATGCTGAAGACTGATGTGAATTTCAGTCCAACAACACCCAGAGGGCCATACATCCTCCGTCACTGAGTTAGGGGATTACAAGTGAGTGGCAGAGCACCTTGGGCTTATTCAACTCCTTTCTCCTCTACCACACAGACAAGAGAAAGAAATCAGGGGATCTTAGTTCTAAGCTTTTCCCCTGACTTGCAAGGAGAAGAGCAGGAAGAGGTATGTAAGCCCAAGGATCCTTCACACTCTTGTTTGGAGAACTGTCAAATTGAGCACAGTGGCACATAGTGCAAATTAAGTACTTCCAAGCTTGTGTCATGACATGTAACTGCTATTTCATCTTTCTTCACAGTAAATTAGGATACTGACTAAGTCACGGGTGGGAAACTGCTTTTAGTCCAAGGGCTGAATTCCATTTCAGAGATGCTTTTTTGTATTTTGGGGAAAAACACATATACACAATAGAAACAAAACTCACAATTACACAAATATGAAACAATACAAACAATACAAATAATAAAAGTAATAATAATACTTAAATAATGCAATAACAACAGTGTTACCTTCCATCAGGACCAACAGATACATGTTAGTGTAAAATCATTCATTCATTTATTCAGGTAGCTCCACTCCCCTTCCAAAGCTACACTGAATACTGTGATGGTACACAACCCTTTTCCCTTTAGTAAAAATTAGTCAATAAATGATGTCCAAATATCTTCAAAATTAGTTTTACTTATCAAGCCTTTTCAACTTAATATCACAAATCGGATTATCATTAATACCTATATTCCAGAATTCTTAGACCAAGTACTTATTTGATAGTCACATTTTACTTTCCAATTCCTTGCTATCATCAATCAAAATGCTGTTACCAAATTTGTCATCAATTCTTTAATAGTTTATTCCCATGTCCTCTATCAAATAATAACATGAATTCAGGGTCTACTTCAATATTTAAAATCAATAAAAAGTCTCACAATAGCTTCTAAATGGAAATCACTGGAGCCCCCAGCTATTGATGAATGGAGAAATAGAATATGCAGTGATGGCAAAGCTAACTACAGTATATCACAGAAGTGAGTACACCCCTCATATTTTGTAAATATTTTATTACATCTTTTCATGTGACAACCCTGAAGAAATGACACCTTGCTACAATGTAAAGTAGTGAGTACAGCTTGTATAACAGTGTAAATTTGCTGTCCCCTCAAAATAACTCAACACACAGCCATTAATGTTTAAACCACTGGCAACAAAAGTGAGTACACCCCTAAGTGAAACTGTCCAACTTGGGCATTATTAGCCATTTCCCCTCCCTGGTGTCATGTGACTCATTAGTGTTACAAGGTCTCAGGTGTGACTGGGGAGCAGGTGTGTTAAATTTGGGGTTATCGCTCTCACTCTCTCATACTGGTCACTGGAAGTTCAACATGGCACCTCATGGAAAAGAACTCTCTGAGGATCTGAAAAAAAGAATTGTTGCTCTACATAAAGATGGCCTAGACTACAAGAAGATTGCCAAGACCCTGAAACTGAGCTGCAGCACGGTGGCCATGACCATACAGCAGTTTAACAGGACAGGTTCCACTCAGAACAGGCCTCGCCATGGTCGACCAAAGAAGTTGAGTGCATGTGCTCAGCGTCATATCCAGAGGCTGCCTTTGGGAAATAGACGTATGAGCGCTGCCAGCATTGCTGCAGAGGTTGAAGGGGTGGTGGCTCAGCCTGTCAGTGCTCAGACCATACCCCATACACTGCATCAAATTGGTCTGCAGGGCTGTCGTCCCAAAAGAAAGCCTCTTCTAAAGATGATGCTCAAGAAAGCCCGCAAAACAGTTTGCTGAAGACAAGCAGACTAAGGACATGGATTAGTGGAACCATGTCCTGTGGTCTGATGAGACCAAGATAAACTTATTTGGTTCAGATGGTGTCAAGCGTGTGTGGTGACAACCAGGCAAGGAGTACAAAGACAAGTGTGTCTTGCCTACAGTCAAGCATGGTGGTGGGAGTGTCATGGTCTGGGGCTGCATGAGTGCTGCCGGCCCTGGGAAGCTACAGTTCATTGAGGGAACCATGAATGCCAACATGTACTGTGACATATTGAAGCAGAGCATGATCCCCTCCCTTCAGAGACTGGGACGCAGGGCAGTATTCCGACATGATAATGACCCCAAACACACTTCCAAGACAACCACTGCCTTGCTAAAGAAGCTGAGGGTAAAGGTGATGGACTGGCTAAGCATGTCTCCAGACCTAAACCCTATCGAGCATCTGTGGGGCATCCTGAAACGGAAGGTAAAGTAACACAAGGTCTCTAACATCCACCAGCTCCGTGATGCTGTCATGGAAGAGCGGAAGAGGACTCTAGTGGCAACCTGTGAAGCTCTGGTGAACTCCATGCCCAAGAGGGTTAGGGCAGTGGTGGAAAATAATGGTGGCCACACAAAATATTGACACTTTGGGCCCAATTTTGACAGTTTCACTTAGGGGTGTACTCACTTTTGTTGCCAGTGGTTTAGACATTAATGGCTGTGTGTTGAGTTATTTTGTGGGGACAGCAAATTTACACCGTTATACAAGCTGTATACTCACTACTTTACATTGTAGCAAAGTGTCATTTCTTCAGGATTGTCACATGAAAAGATATAATAAAATATTTACGAAATGTGAGGGATGTACTCACTTCTGTGATATACTGTATGTAAACAGAAGACCGTTAGAAGAATTTAATGACAAATGGAAATTTTATTGAGCTTAGCATGTCTAATGGAAGTTCAGGGGAGTTTGGAAAAGAAAAAGGAAAGCAACAGAATTTGAACTGATTAGAAAATCTGTTGATGTATAGCATAACTATTTCTTTTTTGTAAACTCCCACAGAGCATGGGAAGATAGGAAGAGAGTCAGTTTTGGGGGTTGCAATACATAGGCTGTATTTAAAATTCTCTTGGCAATTTTTCTATTTTCTTCACTTTAGTCTGTTCTGTTTATATTAGTTTTTTTCTATTCTACATTTTCTTCTATGTATTTGTATATGTTAAGAAATATATATATATATATTCAATATTTTACTATTTCCTTTAAAAACTGCTTTCCAAAACTTATATATTCACACTCCCACCACAAATGGAAATACATACCCACATCCTGGTTATGTCTCCAACATATATTGGAATATCTATTATTTATGTAATTCAATTTTACCGGTGTTAGGTACCATTTCCATACTAATTTGTAGATGTATGTGGATAAAAATCAAAGAAAACATTTTAAAATTCTCTTATCTCACATATTTCCTCATTCTTCATTACTGGTATCTCTTCTTTAATCTATTTCCCAAGGAAAGCAGTCTACTATATTCTAGAATGGGAGAAAACTACACAAAAGACAGGACACCAACTGGTGGTGGCTCAGAGAAAGAAGGTGGGATCAAGGGAAGGATGCCTGGCCTTTAGGAAAGCCTGGAGGACAGATTTGAGGTTCTACTCCCCTGATTGCATGTATAGTAGAGGATTAACTGGCTGTTTTATTATGATCACAGCAAAAAGAGATTTCTGGGTCTAAACTTACTTTGTCATTGATGCGTTGATCAGCAATGAGTGGGCTGAAAAGGAAATCAAGGCGCATATTAGATGACTCTCATGAAATGTGCAAATTTTACATCCTACAAAAACACTACTGAACAAATAAGCCATGCTCTACCACGAGAAGTTTGTGCACATGACAGTCCAAACCAAGAGAGATATCTCATCTGTTTTATATTACCATGCATCAAAGGATTTATTTTATTAATACTCCTCTTTAAGGAAGGTCATACGGCTTGTTTATGATTCCTAAGCATAAATCCACCTAAATTTCAACAGCAAAACTGTATAATGCAGTACCTGACCACTCTCTGGGCACTAAGGGTATATTGATCTGAATTATATGCACAGGTGATCCCAAATCTTCTTATAGCAGCATATTTCATAGTCTTCATATGCCTTGTTTCTCTGGAAGCATTACCAGGCAAAGTGACCAAACAATTGTTTCTGACAAATCTCAAACTACTGCACGGAGAAGCACTGATTGTTCAAGATGAGAGTGCTCTTCACTACACAGCATAGAGGAAGGTATCTTTTTTAGGTGTTTCTACTGCTCCCATTTGCCTTGACTACACAAATAAAGCAGTAATGGCAACTCTGCCCCTTCTTTTATGGCTACTACCAAATACTTAAAAGAGTTTTCAATAATGTAGATTAGAAAGTAGTAAAAAATTAATATTTTCCAGATTAAGTTAGGCTTATCTTGGTCTAACCTTATACATAAGAAACTTAAACAGCAAGGTTTACTGTGTTGTGGCCCAGGGTTCATACTCCCTTATTGGCTTTACTTAAAGATTGCAACCTGTCTGACAGGATGAGGATGCACACAACTCACTGAACAGTTTTCCTGCAGCTATACAATTCATAAAACTTCACACTTTCTGGTGCAGCCTAGCCTGCAAAGCTCTCACTCACCTGCATTTGAATTAAGTTGTTTATTCAGACCTCTCTCAAACTCAGAAAGACGGACTTTTTTCGACCTGCTTTTGTGCAGTACAATCTGAGATGTCTCTTTGATAGCTGGGTCAGAAAAGCTGATTTCTAGGTCGCTAGAAGGTGAGAAGACAGGTTCTCAATTAATAGCAATAGCAGAATGTCATCTTCAAGGAAATATGCTAGCACTTCCCCAGTACCCCCTCCTGAAGTAAGAAGCCATCTTCAAAATGGTTTGAGGGACTCACCGCCAGACTTGGCAGGACCGTCGGGCACTGCGCAAGGACAGGGACGCCCCGCTGCCGTCTGTGCCTCCAGGAAGGCCTCCGCAGGCCCCACCCTCGCTCCCTTCACCGAGCGCAGGTGGGAGCTGTGCTGGGGGCGGAGCTGGATGTGGGCGGGGCGGACAGAGCCCTTTTCTTGCCGGCTCCGCCCAGGGTCAGTGGCCTTGGGCTGGCGACTGAAGGGTGGCAGCCAAAGGGCAGTGTGCTGCCGTTTGGGGCCTGGCTGGGCCAGTGACTTTGTCCTATTTTTTTTTTACGTGACTGTGTTTTTATTTGGTTTTAATTCGGGATGCCTTTACCTGGGGAGCACGTGGGCGCCATCACTGGGGTGGTGATGGGCAGGGGAAGGTATGGCATTGGGGGTCTAACAGGCCTGCATAGGAGAAGGAGGGACCGATGTTTGATAGCGGTCCCCTCTTCAGGTTATTCCCCCAACCAGAAGGTTCCTGGCAGCAGTATCACCTGGCCCCCAGGCCTGATAGTGTTGCTGTTGAACTCTAGGCTGTTTGACCTAGCATGACCAACAGTCTGCAGGTTCGGATGACACAACAAGATGCAGCTAGATGTTGAATACTCAAAACAGCCATCAGCACACACCACAATTCCATTAAATAAGTCATGGTATGCCATTCGTGCTGCATCAAATGCAGCAGCATAGTCTCATATCAATGACTTACGCACTGAGCTATAGCTAGAGAGATACTGCCTGCTCCTCAGATCAGGAAGCAGAGGAAAAATCGCACCTTCATCCAGTGAAACTGAAATGGTACTGCCCAAAAGCAGGAGACATCTTTGCCATTGTATGTACATACGTTTCATGCATAGGATATCACACCCGTACAAAATACTATGATACAAACTATGGTATTTAGTGGCATGTTTAAATGCTCCTTGGTATTGAGTATACATTTCTGTGTTCAGTTTGTGTGGCCTTGTTTGAAAAGGCATTACATATATCATGGCTAATGAAAGATCTTCAACCGCATATGTGAGCAGGTAAAAATGTAAAGAAAGCACTGCCCATTCCCTCTGCAAATCTACTTGGCTTTACTTATTATGAATGTGATCTAGATGGGGGCGGTCCAACACATAGCCTACAGGCTACATATGGCACTTGAGACTTTGTTCTGCCGCTCTCTGACTGCTTGGCCCTCCACAAGTTCAGATCCCACCAATGGCACAGGCAAGGCTGTGGCAAGCTCGCACAAAGCTGCTGGCCCATCCTGCTCTGTTCCTGAGGCTCCAGAAGAGAGCAGGTTGGGCGGGCAGCCTCACAAGAGCTTGCACAGCATGCCCTGCCCTCCCCTGCTGGCAAGCGGCGCAGGGTCTCCAGTCCAACAGACTCTCCCTCGCATGCCCTGCCCTCTCCTGCTGGCAAGCAGCGCAGGGTCTCCAGTCCAACAGACTCTCCCTCGCATGCCCTGCCTGCTCTTGCTGATGAGCACTAAGGTGCTCAGTGCTTATCACCAGGAGCAGGCAAGGCCCGTTGCAGAGATTACAGGCCCACAAAGCATTCTCAAGCCAACTTTGAGATTTTCTCCCTCATTTAATGGTTAAATATATCAATTGTGTACTTTAAATTAAATAAATATCTTGTGTGGACTTTATTTACTACAAGGAAATGTAATTCATTGTGTGGCCCCTGGGTTCCATCTCAAAGTCTTCACGTGACCCTCATGGTACAAACAGTTGGATCACCCTGATTTAGATAGCACCGTCAGTATACATGGTATTTTACAGAAGAAACTTTTCCAACTTAGAGCTCCTTAGATGTATTAGACTACAACCTCCATCATCACCCACCAGCATCATCCACAGTCAACAGTCACAATTAAATTGCAAGCGTGGTGATTTTCTTCTTTTTTATTTATGTATTGCCTTTATATATCATTCAACTTCCATACACGGCTCCCAGAAACAAGCAGTTTTTGTTTTGCAAACAAGCACCAGTTTTTGAAACCACTGCAGTGTTAGGTCTATGTCCCACTCAACTTTCAGAAACCACATCCTGCCCTGTTAATCCTAGGCAACCCTTTTGAAACATAAGACAACAGGGCTGTTAAGCTTCTGATAGGATAGCCTGTTGCATTTTTCATTTCCCATTAAAGCTTCCATCACTATGAGTAACAAGTAGGTCCCTTCCCTTCTTGCAACATCTAAGCAACCAACTTTTTTTGCACTGCATGCAGCTTCGGGACCATTCCTCAGACTGGTAAAACTATTATCATTTTATTTAAATAAAATTATTTACCCATTCTACATTTTAATTTCCACAAAGACATAACACAGGACAAATCTACTGAATAAGAATAGTCCAACCAAGATTTTATATTATGGCTACATAATGCACTTTCAGACAAGCTTATACTTTCATAGAAAATTGCCTCAGTAATAATGTCAGGAATATAAAAGAATTTTAGATTCTTTTGCTCAAACATCTTTCAGCAAACCTGTGAAGTTATAACATTTTATGAGACACCAAAATAATTCTCTTAGTTAAGATGACTTCAACTTTTAAAGACAGATTTTGACCATTGTACCTATCCAAAAGAAGCAACTAGATTCTCCACTATTTGCTCTATGAAATGCAGCAGTAATGTCACTGATTACTAAAGGATTTACTCCAAGCAAATAGACTTAGGATTGCTTACAGGAGCACAAAGAAGCCACTTACCTGCAGGGAACAACCACCGGAGGAAACTGGAAGAATGTCTCTGCTGGTTTTGGAGAATCGGGTTTTTCAGGAGCAAGAGGAGGAACTATTGGTTCTGTCAAGAGAAAACAAGATAAATTTTATGTCAACCAAATCTCCAAGTAAAATGGGATACTACCAAGAGGTTCAAGTGGACAAATTTTCTTATCTGCCTTTCTAAAGCAAAGAACAACAACTAAATCATTGTGCTGGAAAGAGAAGAAAGTTCACCTGGACATGGCCGAAGAAAAAAGAGACCATGTCTGCTGCACCTTATCCAAAATACTTGCGGTCTACTAAGACAAAAATTTAGCATGGAACACATTTGAAAGCATTATTTACTAAAATTCCAATGCAAATTAGCATAGGAATTTTCCTAGACTATTTTCCTATTTTAAAATTTCCAGAAAAATCACTGGAAAATATATAAAAATATATATAAAAACCAAACAACATCATACCATAAATATCCAGAATAAAAAGTCATTCAAATAACAATACTTTCAGCTGGCTATCACTACTAAATGTCCATTTATTGACAAGGTACAGTGGAGCCTCTTCTCACATCTTTTCCTACTCATCACCCATCTGCATCATTAGAAGCATATAAACCTCCATGCTTAGAATACAATTCCAATATAAAAGTATTGTTGGCCTACCCTATCTACCCACCCACATTCCAAGGGTGGGTGGGGCAAAAAACAAAAAACAGTGAGGCACAGATACCAAAAACGCAGTAGTAAAGCTTAATTTTATTACATTAAGAGCATTAAAATGTTAATGTTTATTTCAGCTTAAAGCACCTCCTGCAAGTTACTAAGCCTTAAGGTAGGCATTTCAACCCATTAGAATTAAGAAAAAAATCATCAAACCTGGGAAACCATTGTGAGGACAAAAGGAACAAAAGCTTTGCCATAATATGGCAGCTAAAAACCCAACACTGTAAGAACAGTTTCAGACTTATGGGATTTCTGATCAGGAATCCATGTTGCTAGTCTTGCTTTCCATGTACACCTTAGAAATGCTAATATCCCTGTTCTGAATGGTCTTCCATGGGGAGGTGGCGGGGGGGGGGTGTACCTTCCACATGCTAATGTATGTCTTTCCAGAAGAGTCTTCTCTTGGTGTTGTCTTCATGTCATTCAATCCATTTGCTTTATTGTAATGTGCTTGTAATATGTAATATATATCCTTCTCTACTTCATCAAACATTCCATACCTTTCCTCCACCCACTAATACCACAGACATCTTGTCCTTTACTTACGGGTCTGCAGGACCTTCTTTAATAGAGTTCGAGGTGTTCTGAAGTCCGTAACTGCAGAGGCTGTCAGTCTTTGAGAGGTTAGGGATCTTTGATAACCATAGCACAGGTCCTAGAAGAAAATTGATCATCCTAGACATAAAGGCACTTAGTAGATGCAGACTCCTAGAATGTTACACAAGAATTCTAAGGACGACACTACAGGCTCAAATTGGTTTAACAATGATTTCCAAGTCTCAGGGCCTAACCAACCTCTATTAGTCTTAATAGGGTAATGAGAGATATAATGGATTAAATAGCATTGTTTTTCCTGCCAGACTTGAAGGTAAATTTTCTGTGCGAAACAGGCAACTGCCAAAGGAGAATGTAGGACTGTAACAGACTCCTGATTTGCTTTGGTCCAACAAGTACATGGACATCTGAGCTTGAAAACTTTGGATTGTTCAGGGGTTAAGCAATCTGGAGTTAACCCAATAACAAACCCTGGGTTTGTTAAGCCAAATAACTCGGGGTCATTTAGGTTTGAAAATCTTCAGAACAACCCAGCAACAGAATGTTCCTGGTTTGTTTATTGCAGTAGAAGCAGCAAGCATGCAGGAGGCAAAATGTTTGTTTTCAACAGCTTATCTTTTACAACTGTGGGTTGTGGCATGCAAATTGAGCTACTGTTGTACAACAACAATTAACAGTAGAAAAATTAAGGTTCCTAGACAAGAGTTTTTACACAGCAAGGTCACATGAAGAGGATCCTCCTTGGTTGTTGCAGTAAATAAGATGGAGTCACAAGAAGTACTCGGTGGCAAACTTTGACAGATACCAACTTGTGTTACAGTTGAAAGATGTCTGCAGCTATAGTAACTAGCTAGTAGGAGCAGAAGAGTTAAGAAGGCCTCATAGCACTATAATTAAAATTTAAAAGCATACTGTTCCACACACTGTGGCTTTCCTGGCTTCAAGGAGTATTTAACCAAAAATAAATAAGTCAGTCAATTGATACTATCAGCTGGTTTGCACATTGAGTTAAACCATGCATAAGCAGCAGTTCACTTAATTCCTCCTGCACAACCTGGCAGACAACTTTGAAAGCTTTAACTTCTGCTTAAATTAAAACACTGCTCCCCATTTTGTCAAAAACAGAGCCATGAACTATCCTAACTCTGGTTTGTTTAAATAAGCCAGCTTTATAACCCATGCTTTAAAGTTTGCTTAATGTTTTTTGAAACAGAGTTTCTAATAGTTACCATCCAGGACAGTATAAGCAGGACATGAAGACAACTTCCAAATTTAATATCTTGCAACTTCAGCTATACAGACACATACTGCTTCTCAATATGAAGTCTGCAAAAATCATATCTAATGCTGACAGGACCTCATTTACAGTCCTTCCTTTAAAGGAAATTTAGTTAATTTCCCTGGGCCAGGTAGAAAAAACATTGGATCTAACTACATATAAACTTCAAAATTAATAGTCATTTACAGATCATGAATTTGCCCATCTCCTTTGTTTGTTTTACTATGTCTTCAGAAAAATCTTGTCTGCCCTGAATCCACTGCCTGTTACTTAGGTGACCAGAACATCAGTATTATAGAAGCAGGAGATGAACATCTCTTTCTATTCATTGGAATGTTGTTCAAAATCTTAAAAATTCTATCATCTTTCAGCACCACCACCCATTTTTAGATGGGGGTTAAAAAAAGACCCAGACTCCACTGCAAAGTATAAATGTATAAACTACAGACTGTTTCACTTTTCAGTTTATGATTTAGCAGCAATTGTTATGATTAAGTCTTAGGGCAAGAATGTACGCAGTGTACAACAGTCATACACATATAGACTAATACAATCAGTTAACTCCAAAAATGCAATCACAATCAGAACAAGTAGCTGAAACAATCACGGGGTAGTAGCCAATGTTTCTTCTACACAGAGCAGACCTACTGAAATGAATTGCACTCATGTCAATGGGCTTATTGTGCACTGGATGCTACCAAATCAATTTAAACAAACAGCAAATGCAAGAGATGTACAGCAGCCATAGAGACCAAGCTGTTATTTGTAGGGGAGACGTGTCTTTCCTTCAAGCAGCCATATGGGCAATACAGCAGAGGCAATGCGACTCCCACCAGCACCACCTATGTTTTGAGTGGGAGAAGTCATGAGGCCTTTACCTCCTCTCCACACCACTCTCAGCTGCTTCCTTTTGGGAAGAAGCAATAATAAAGATGAATTTTATAACAGAAATTTCTTAATTTACACACACACACACTTTTTAAAAAACTACCCATCTCTTGGAATTTAGGTCAAGACTGGTAGATTCTCTACACCCTTTGGACACTAAAAGATTAACACTGGAAAGACAAACTTCCACTCACAAAGAGGACTTATGAAGCGTTTGATTTTTGAACAGTTGATTTTCAGACTTAATTAAGAATGGACAAGCACAAGGGTGTTTTAGCTGCTTCTGTTGAAGTCCATGCATAATTATCTCTAATAGTATATTTTGCTTTATATAAAACATAGGGCATAGTGTATAAGTACACTTCATCACCTAAATTTCAGGTGAGAAAGCTGTAATCTATTTTATTTGGTTTCCTTTTTCTTTGTTTTGATTTGAACCTCACAACAACCAATTATTAAAAGCCACCCATTTCTTACTTGCGAGGCGGTGCGACTCTCGTCCACCCTCCGTCCCACCCATTTTGTGGGGGAGGCAATGAGATGCCTGCCCTCCTTCCATTCCCCCTAGTTTTTGTGGGGGAGCCAGGGAAGCACTTTCCCCCTCCCCCAAGTGTCGCCCCCACCCCAATTTCTGCCTTTGCTTCCGCAACTCCCAAAGCCTCCGCCCCCTGTGGGCCGTACTGGTTCGCTCAGCCGTCCCCGCACCTTTTTGTTCGCCAACCGCGCAGACCGTCGCCGTCCGCACGATCCCTCCGGTTCGTTCCGCAAGCTCCGGCGGGAAGCCATGCTTCTGCCTCCTCCTCACCCGCAAGCGACCTCTGAGGAAACGCAACGGCAACGGGGGACGAGCGCGAGGCCCGACGACTGCCAAGCGCTCGCCGCTCTTCTCCCGCTCACAGATTCAAGCGACGGTCGTAGCGAGATCAACAACTCTCGCGATAATTCTCCGCTTCAGCCCAGCAGGAGTTACTCCCCTCGCGCAGCTTGACGGGAAATGTAGTTTCACGCCGTTGCCTGGTGTACAATGTCGTTTTGCTTCTGGATGGAACGGGAAAGGTTCCTCTCGATGCTTTCCGTACACGCCATGACTGGTTTACAGGGAGAAGATGCAAAAGAGGACACAGGGCTTAATCTGCACCTTTCAACCCCAATCACGTGCAAATTGAGACAGGAAAAAAATCCTACTACTCCCAGCATTTCCCCACCCAGCATCGCTTTTATTCTGTCGAAACATGCGTGGGTTCACATCTCTACTAGTTCTGTAAAAAGGGAATTTCAGCTGGTCTGGCTTGTCAGGCTGCTTAAATTCCTCCCTCTTACCAACACTGAAATGTTGCCAAAACCATGTATTCTTCTGCATCTTGCAATACGATGCACCCTATCTCTATACGACTTGTATACAACTTTAGAGAGTGGGGGAAAGTGGTGCATCTATAGGCACACACAAGACACAGCAAAATCTCTCCACCACCATAGCAAGAAATATTGTTTCACATTAAGTGCGGAGGAAGATCCACAGTAAGAACCCAATACCCTCTTTTATGGCATTTGGAAATTTAAATAACCATATTCAAGAGATTTGCTGTAATGCGTTTTGTCATAATGATAGCAATACTGTATTGTCAAAAAATAATCACTGTCCGAACAGCCTTGATAGATATCTAGAAGAGAGGTGTCTGTAACTACCTACTTGTCCCTAAAGGAATCATTCCTAAGGGAAGACAGACTTCTTCGAAGAGGAATCCTATGAAGAAGCATCTGCAATATTAAGAAGTGAAGAGAGAGCTGCTTGAAAGCACTTGCAAAGAATAAAGCACTGGATCAGTCCAAATCCTAGCAAGACTGTGCCAAAAACTATGGAAAACAGAACAACAACCCACTAGAAATATTCAATATACACTCCAAAGAAGGAGATGCAAAAGAGTGCAACAACCATGAACCATGCCACACAAGCTAAGTAATGCTCAGAGTGTTGCAACAAAGAATACTACCCCTATATGGAGCAAGAGATGCCTGACATCCAGATTGGCTTCCAAAAAGGAAGAAACACTAGAGCTTATATTGCAAACATACATTGGCTTCTGGAGCACACCAACGAATTTCAGAAAAAGATCTATACTTTATAGACTGCAGCAAAACCTTTGACTGTGTGAATCATGAGAAGTTATGGATGGCGCTGAAAGAAATGGGTGTGTCTCGGCACATGACTGTCCTGATGCATACACTGTGTCATGGACAAGAAGCTACTGTTAGGACAGAATAGGGTAGTTTGCTAGAGGCAAAGGTGTCAGACAAGGAGGGAACAAACATTTTAATTATTTTAAAATTTTAATTAATTTTTAATGTACAGTGTGCATAGGGATTCATTTTTTTCAAACTATAGTCTGGCCCCCCAACAGTCCAAGGGACAGTGAACTGGCCCCCCATTTAAAAAGTCTGAGGACCCCTGACCCAGAATAATTTTAGAACGTTACTGTTAACAATGAAGAAAGAGACATTGTGAAAGATTTCACATACCTTGGCTCATTCATCAATTCAAAGGGAGACTACAGCCCAGAAATGCGAAGAAGATTGAGACTTGGAAAGGCAGCAAAGAAGGAACCAGAGAAGGTCACCAACTATAAGGATGTTTCACTGGAGACGACCAAGATCATTCACACTATTTTATTTCCAATCGCAATGTATAGGTATGCAAGCTAGACAGTGAAGAAAGCTGACGGGAAGAAAATTGATGCATTGAAACACGGTGCTTGGGGAGAGCTTGCCACTACCCTGGACTGAAAGAAAGACAAACCAGTGGGTCCAAGAGTTTTCCCTGGAAGCAAGCATGACAGAACTGAGGCTGTCATACCTTGGACACATCATGGGAAGGCAAGACTCGCTGGAGAAGTCAAAGGCAGAAGAAGAACAGGCAGACAGACAGGCTGAATCCACAAAGGAAGCCACAGCCTTGAACTTAGAAAAGCTGAGTGGGGCTGTCATGGGCAGGACATTTTCGAGGGCTTTCATCATGGGGAGATTACTCGATGGCACACAACATTACTATATTGTATGTAATACAGCCGTGTTATACTGTGCTGTATTCTTTTCAATAGTCATATTGTCTTTTACATTTTTAGTTGTGCTTTAAAACATTTTTAACTGGCTGTAATCTTCCAAGAGAACATTAGAGACTTTGGAACGAGCGCCTCAGAGAGGTTTGCCTGGTGCCAACTTCATACTCTTTTTGGCACCAAGTGAAGACCTTTTTATTCCACTGTTATTTTGTTAGCAGGTTTTTAATAGTATTTCAACAGAAGGGGATATGTCTTTTATGAAATCTGGAGTTCAGGTGGGTGTGTTTTTATGGTTGTTCTAGTATCATTTTTAGTGATTGTGATGTTTTTATTGGTTTATATGGTTTATAATGTTGTAACCCACCCAGGGAGCTGTCTGACTAATGGGGTGGGTTAGAAATCTAATTAATTAATTAATAATTGAGTTGATTATAAGTAAGAATATGGTGTGCAAGACTGTCAAGAGATTATTACACATGTAAGGCCTTGGAATTGTGCTGTATACAATTAGAACAAAGCTTTTAAAGTTTACTTCATCCTCTGAAAACTTTCTCATTGGCCCTTTCCCTTCCTGAGGCTGGGAATTGTCTTCCCTCCATACATACCTTATCTAAAGATGACCCTTTCAAGATGTCGCTCAAACACCCATCCTTGACCTGGTTCCTTCTTATTTATTTATTTAGCAGACTTATATGCCACCCCATTCACCTAAGCCTCAGGGCAGCTAACAAATAAATAAATATCACTAGTAGAATAAAATACAGTTGGAGACATCCTGGCCAAAGTTGCTAAAATCAATAAATAAAATCAATAATTAAAATGATGTTTAAATAAAAAGTTCTTGGCCTGGCGCCGAAAAGCAAATAATGACGGCGCCAGGCGGACCTCTCTGGGGAATGCATTCCATAGGTTGGACACCACTGTAGACAAAGCCCTCCTCCGAGTGCTCACCCTCCTAATGTCCTTCACGGAGGGCTCCCGGAGAAGGGCCTCTGCTGCCGATCTCAAGGGGCGGGAGGGCACGTATGGACGTAAGCGCTCCTTCAGGTAACCAGGACCCAAGCCATTAAGGGCTTTATAGGTGATAACCAACACCTTGAATTGGGCCCGGACTTCTTGAACCCTCTTTATCTAGGAGCAGTTCTCCTACAGCCACGCACACATTTTCTCTTTAACCCTGTATTTGTAAGAACAAAGGAGGCACCATCTTCTCCAACAGTATGTATGTACAAAATTGACTATATTATTATTCAGTATATATTACTGAATATATTACAGGTATCTTCATTCTGCAATAAAGCAGAATGATTTTATGGCAGCAATCCTAGGTGCACTATACACACTTGACATGGGAGTAAGTCCAATTGAACTCAGTGGGGTTTACTCCTGACAGATCATACATAGTTCATTCTGCAAATGCCGTATGCTGTCAACTTTAGGACTGAGTGAACAGTATACAAAACTTTTTATAAATAAATAAAACAAACTTTATCTATGTTTACTCAGAAGTCCTACTAGATTCAGTAGGTTTATTCTCATATAAGTATGGATAACATTGCACACTTTCATCCCAATCCTTTAAAGTTAAGGATATAAATACACATACAGCATGTTTATGTGACTGGAGTAAGCTAGGAATTATTGCCCCTTTTTCCTGTCTGAATGTATATGATTACATTCAAGCTTATTTATTTATACCTAATATACAGTAAGCTTTGGTGGACTGTGTTTATGCTGGAATGAGTATGCTAGTCTTTAAGGAGCCACAAGACTTGTGTTTGTTTTTCTGCTGTAATAGCAACACTATTTGCTTCTGTAGGAAAATGAAGGGTTTTCTTTAAAATTTGAAGTTTCATCGTAGCTGTATAGGATGCCCTGAATCATCTATGTTAAGGCCTGTCCCTCATACAAGCACATCACCAATCCAGGTGAGGCAGTGGCTGTACTGAACTGGTGCCTGGCCGAGGTAATGGGCTGGATGAGGGCCAATAAACTGAAGCTCAATCCATACAAGACAGAGGTCTTGTTGGTAGGCAGTTCGGGCTTCGGGAAAGGGGACCTTGACCTTGTCCTGAATGGGGTTGCACTCCCTCTGAAGGACAAGGTCCACAGCTTGGGAGTGCTCCTCGATCCAGAGCTTTCGCTGGAAGCTCAAGTAACAGCGGTGGCGAGGAGTGCTTTCTTTCAGCATCGTCTGATTCACCAGCTGCATTCCTACCTGGAGAATGACTGCCTGGTGACAGTGACTCACGCATTGGTAACTTCCCGACTAGACTTCTGTAACATGCTCTTTGTGGGACTGCCCTTGAAGATGGTCCGGATACTTCAATTGGTGCAAAACAGAGCTGCCAGGTTGCTGACGGGGACTGGGCGTTATGTTCACATGACTCCAGTTCTCCGTTAGCTTCACTGGCTCCCGACTGAAGTCCAGGCCCAATTCAAGGTGTTGGTTATCACCTATAAAGCCCTTAACGGCTTGGGTCCTGGTTACCTAAAGGAGCACTTACGTCCATATATGCCCTCCCGCCCCTTGCGATCGGCAGCAGAGGCCCTTCTCCGGAAACCCTCCGTGAAGGACATTAGGAGGGTAGGTACTCGGAGGAGGGCTTTCTCTACGGTGGCGCCCAACCTATGGAATGCACTCCCCAGAGAGGTCCGCCTGGCGCCGTCGTTATTTGCTTTTCGGTGCCAGGCGAATGCCTTTTTATTTAAATGTCATTTTAATTGTTGATTTTATTTATTGATTTTAACAACTTTGGCCAGGATGTCTCCAATGGCATTTTATTGTATTAATGATATTTATTTATTTGTAAGCCGCCCCAAGGCTTAGGTGAATGGGGCGGCATATAAGTCCGCTAAATAAATAAATCACAGCTCCATGACACTGTCAGGGGCTCTAACAGCACAATCACAACAGTAAGAAGCCAATCAAAACAACACTAATAAAGTTATTTCTAGGGATTGCGACACAGGTATGGCCTGACCACTTCAGCTATAGCAGGAGCAGCCAATCTGAGGCTCAGGAGCCATATGTGGCCTTTTGAGTTTATTTTGGGGCTTGCCGCTTACCACCGCTTGCCGGTTGCCGCCGCCTGTGGGCACCCACCCGTGGCTCTCACATCTGACATTTACCGAAGGTGGCTCTTTCGTCGAGCAGGGCTGGCCACCCGAGCTGCAGTGTCCTTGGTCCCTCGGGGGGGAGGATCCTCAGTGATGCCCACCAAGGCGCTCCCAGAGGCCATATCCGAGGGGCTCAGGATGCGGCTGCAAGCGGGTTGTCAGAGAAAAGGAACGTCGTTCTCTTTTCTGCTGTGTCTTCAGCAGAGGAGTCTCTAAAAGAGGCAAGTGGTAGGAAAGACGCAAAACGTCAAAGGCGTTGTGGGAAGTGTGATTTTTATTTCGTGTTGTTTTACACTTCATAGAATGATTTTCCGCCAAGTTCCCCTGCTTCCCTCTGGAAAATAAAGTTTAGGCTTCGTCATACAGTTAACCCATAGGTGCCACATAGAAAAAGAAGCAAACGGACAATCAAACCAGGCGGGGATTTTAGCCTTAAAGGCTTGGTTTGTTTAATAAAGACAGGTATTATCACAAGTAGACCTCCAGGAGGATTATGGGAAACTGGCACAGCGCGAGGGCACACGGGACACGTAGTTCGCGTTCCTGAGGCCCGCCCGCCTTTGTCATAAGCAAGGCAGAGCCACCCAACTGCGATCGCAATGCCTAGTGGGGAACGTAGTTCCGGCGGCGTGACACCGTGGTGCTTTGTGGGGCGGGTAGTTCCGTTTCCTGTGGCGCTGTTGCGGAGGGCAGGGTACTGTGGCGGCGGCGACGACGCTGGCGGAGGAGCCGTCTGGGTGTTGGACTCGGCGTCGGGAGGCCTTGTGGGATCTGTAGTCTCCGCTGCCTCGGGCCTGCCGGGGGAAGGAGGAGGAGAAAGAGGCGGCAGAGTCGGCAAAAGGCGGCACACGGCGCAGACCATGCCCGGGTTCACGTGTTGCGTGCCAGGCTGCTACAACAACTCTCACCGGGACAAGGCGCTCCACTTCTACACCTTCCCGAAGGACGCGGAGCTACGCCGCCTCTGGCTGAAGAATGTGTCCCGGGCCGGCGTGAGCGGCTGCTTCAGCACTTTCCAACCCACCACGGGCCACCGCGTCTGCTCCGAGCATTTCCCCGGCGGGCGCAAGACCTACCTGGTGCGCGTGCCCACCATCTTCCCCCTGCGCGGCGTCAACGAGCGCAAAGGCCATCGCGGGGCCAGGCGCGCCCGCCACGCCCCCGCGGCCGCTTCGGGCACCGCCGCCGCCGTGGCTGCGGCCGCGGCCGCTCAGGCAGCAGTCTTGCTCACGCTGCAGCAGGAGGGAGGAGCCGCCGAGGTTGGGCCGGGCCTCCGAGCAGCGGCGGCGGGAGGTGGGGGCGGCGGCGGCGGCGGCACCACCAGCGGCGGCGGCGTTCCCGGGGAAGATGTCAAGCCGATCGACCTCACGGTGCAGGTGGAGCTCGGGGGTGCCGCAGCGGCCGCTGCAGCCGCCATGGTGGGGGCTCCCATGAGGCTGGCCTTCCTGGCGGACAATGGGCCACTGGTGGACAGTCCGCCCGACCACTCGTACTCACTCTCTTCGGGCACCACGTCAGAGGAGCTCCTGCGCAAGCTGAACGAGCAGCGAGACATCATCGCCCTGCTGGAGGTGAAGATGAAAGAGATGAAGGGCAGCATCCGCCGCCTCCGCTTGGCTGAAGCCCAGCTCCGTGAGGAGATCCGAGAGAAGGACCGCCTGCTGCATGCTGCGAGCTTGGGGGGGCCAGCCCGCAAACGCCATGGCCTCTGAGACCTGCCCATTCCCCCACCTTTCCATCTGGTTAGGTGCTTCAGTTACGAAGGGCATCAGACCAGGCACAAATGGACTCACCTGGAATTTGGTGGCATACAGAGGCAGCAGTGAAAATGCAGGGGAACAAACTTGGCAAGATGGGCAGGAAGCTTATTGCAAGGGCAAACAGAGCTGTTCTGCCTGGTGTGGTATTACCTGCCCAAGTTATGTTTCTGGTCTCTCTACATTGGATCTACACCTCTGTAGACAGAGACTGCCAGTTCTTAACCAACTGCTGACAGTATTTTCTTCCTCTGAAAGGAAGTCCTGTGAGCTGGTCCTGCTTTGCTCTGTGAGCTGGTCTGCACTTGACTGGACTCACATGCTGCCGTTCATGTGTATTCCAGCAAGAACTACCCACCAAGACTTGGCTACATTTTAAAAAAAGACAATCTGGGTTATTGGTTGCCAGCTGACTCTGTAACTCCTGATATTATGTACCTTTCAAAGCAGACAGTAGCTGTGGTCTCAGTGGTATTGATTCTGTGGGAACTGATCCATTTCTAATACCACTGGAAAAATATCTGGAGTAAAGCTGGATGTTTCACTAAATAAGTGTAGGACTATGAACTCATGGCACCAGCAAATCACATAGTACAAAGCTAATTTTGAGGAAAAATGGGTTACTTTTTAGACAAGCACACTTGAGTTATAAACTATTTACTCTGGAGTAGTCTAACTAAAGTCCTACTGGTAATAATGGCATTGTACCAGGATTATTCTACAGTTAATAACTTGTTGATTAACGCCTTAGCAATTATAATCATCAGTGCATTTCATTTGTCCTGCTATATAGAAGAGAAAATAATGGGTTCCACTCCCTCCCAGCCATAGGCAATATACTGATACGGAGTATGTCATTTCTGATGTCATTTCTTATCAGTTAAAGAGGCAATGGGAATGTGTATTTCCTATCCCTGCGTTGCAGTTGTAATTGCTGTTTTGTCTTATTTTCTCTTCTTAGTTGATACGGAAAACGGCGGCTGTGCCATATGTGGATGGCGCCATGTCCTTCATGGCATTCAGGAATTGCTTCTTGTTTCATTTCTGCAAATACATGATTTTCTCTGGTGTAAACCAACACTGTGTGACATACTTCCTTTCTCACTCTCGTGTTCTGAGGTGCAATCTGGCTAGCACAGGAGGACTGAGATTAATTTCTAGAGACTGCAATTCCTTTCGAGAGCCTGGGAAACATCATACTACAAGCACAGCGTTCAAGTGAGTTTGCGAAGGATACCTGCACCCTTCCCTTTGAGTTCTAACTTGAGTTGATGCTCAGCTTGCATCTCCATGAACTGTGAATGCTATCCCCTTTAAAGATGGATAGGCATGAGAGAGGAGTCTGTGCTACAGTCTGACTCACATTGGCCAGAAATGGTTGCTTTCTCAGGCTGTGTGTATATCTGTGTAAAACCAAATAGATGCTTTTGTAATGTGTTCAGCATAGCTGATGATACACTTCAGATAAAAGACCACCAGAACATGCGCTCTGCACAGTTCTTTTAGGTGATGCTGGGACATCTTGTTTACACTAAGAGGGAGGGAAAATTCAGACAAATGGATTTAATAAATGAGTAGAGAATTTGAGCTTTTCAGGCCTTTTTGCATTTCCAAAAATCACACTTGTGTAAAAGTACATTGGAGGACCTCTAGTTGGAACTGCTATGACTTGCTGGGATTGGACAGATGGCCAACTGTCCAGTTCTTTTTAATATTAGGTTACAGCATATATATGTATGTTAGATAACAACAGAAACCACAACCACATGTGTTGTGCATACCCACAACAATAAAAGCAAAGAAAAATGGGAGTTTACTTCAGTTAAAAAGCTTGAAATATACCATACAGAAAATTTGTATTATATGTGACCCTCATTCCTCTTTATTACACATCGGACATAAAACATGTCCATTTCTTTCCATCCCCAAGAGCTGGTGTAATTGACCGTGCCATTTTTGGTGGGGCATAGCAACAGAATGCAAACCCTGATCTTGTTGGACTTTTGTGGATGCTCTGCAGTAGTCATTGGGGAATTGGTGTGTTCTTTAAACAAAATAGTAGGTTGTATCCAGTTGACTAGAGGTGGCTAGAACATTGTTTACTGTATGCTATTATATTTGGCTTTAATTCCTAACTTCTTTTCTCAGACATAGCAGATTTCATTGCAATTCCATGTGCCTCAGATGGGAAACAAACTGCAGGCACACTGGCTACAGAATGTTGCGCCTGGGTCAGGTTTGGTCACACAATTTCCACTTTGTTCTGTGTGCATCTGTTGAGATCTCGGACAACATGCTAGTTTTCTTTCTTTGTAAATAAGACTGTGCATTCTAGCTGGCTGAGAGTGTTTTGAAGGTGTGCATCGTGACAGTTGTGGTACTTTTCTACCGACATTATGCACTAAAATATGTTCAGTTAATTGGATTGCTGGACTGGTTATTTCTTGGACTGTTCTATTTTCCTGGTTATCCTGAGGTGCTAACAAACATGCTTAATCTGAATAAAATCTATTTTGTTTTGTTATCTTGGAATGTGCAATTTGTCCATGTGTATTCGAAAGAGTTTTACAGTGTTGCTTCTTCCATGACAGCCTTTTGTTTGCTCCACTTTTATCTTCCAGGTGTCATCTTTAAGAAGCCCTCCTCAATATATGAGGTATGATTACAGTCAACTCATGTCTTAATCTTTTGGGTATTTACAGTATAGAGCAACATACGTATGCTTTTTCAGGTTTCATATAATTCTTCGTATCATTTCATTGCCCTCCATCTTCAAATATGAATTGGTAAAATTTGTTCTGATGTGCAATCCCTTGTGATACCTTTTTGTCTATTTTTTTTAAAAAAACACCTTACTTGTTGCTCTGAATGAATTTGCAGCTGAATTCACCTTCCCCCGATTTTCTGTTACCAATTTAGATGCTAGGTGGCTTCACACAATATATTTGGCAGAGGAGTTGCAGCAGAAGAGGAGACAAGTCGGAGGCAAACGGGTGAAGGGCCTGGACGAGCCCTGCAAATAGTCTTCTCCAAGTGACCACATGCTCCTGAAGGTTGCAACTGAAAGAGTGGCTTGATTCCTAGCAGCAGCGGTGTGGGTGGGGAGAGTCATTCTGGTTTCAGACTCCTAACTGAGTAGATCAGAGAAAAGTGCCCCACCTTATCTAGGAACTCTGGGATACAAGCAGCCAAGCTCCAAGAGGGCAAGCGACCCAAGCGAACAAACAGAGCTAATAAGAGTTTGGTGGCATCTTTTTCTCATTTTCACTTAGTTTTCCCCCTTTGTTATTTTCCTTGTTATACCCTCCCATTTACTGGTAGGACTGGGTTGTTAACCTTCAGGGAAACTAAGAGAAAGCACCGATTGTCACAATAGTCCCTGCAAGCTAGAATCAAAATGGAAGCAGAAAGAATGGACAGAGAAGACTCCCCAGTGGTGACCTGCAATGGCCATGCAATGTTTGTTTTCTTGCCGGAGGTCAACATGGCCTACAACTGCAATAAGTGCAAGAAAAGCTAAGAGCACTAGAGCAGCAATTATTCTCCTTTAAGGTAATAAACGAAGCAGAAGAGTTTTTAGTCAGAGCAGTGGAACTGCAACAGCGAAGAGTACTACAGAAGCTAGAAGTACAACAGCAAGCTAAGGCAGGAGAGGAGAATCCTGAGACAAATAATGAAGAGACTCTCTGGAAAAAGGAGACAAGTCAGAAGAACTAGAAGACACTGTCCCAGTAGAACTGCTTTCAGTTATTGTAAGGGCAGCCTGCAGTGGAAGAACGGTAAGTCATCCCTTGCAAACACTGAACATGAAGCTGAAGGTCAACCCAGTAGTAGCAATGATACCAAGCGTTGCATGAACAAGAAGAGTTAGTTGTGGGGAGACTCCCTGTTGCATGGGATGGAAGTGCATGTCAGGATGACTCATGGACGTTCAGGTTTTGGAGTGAGTTGTCATCAATATGCTGATGACATGCAGCCCTCTCTCTATTTCTTCTTCAGCAGGTGAGGCTGTGGATGTGCTGACCACATATAGGCTAACTTGTGTAAATTTCCCAGGAACCAGTTGCCAATTTTTGAGCTGAAAAGCACTAAAATGGGGGGAAAAGTAGCAGAAGGTGGTGCATCAAAAGGCAGCTGTGGGAGGATAGTATTTCTCTCTTTGCAATGTGTCCTCTACCTTTTCAACACTCCCGAGTCTCCTACAACTTCAGGAAGAAAAGCTAATTTGCTCCCCTAACAGTTTCTGTGCCTCCTTTTTAGAGCACTTTGTTACTGTGAGTCCCTGAGAGTTTAAAAAAAAAAGTGGCAGAATGAAATGAAATGGGCCGAATGAGGGCTCATGTGGTATGTGTGTGTACTGTGGTGGTGGCCACCCATTTTATTCATCCTGGTGTGCTGCCTGTTTTTTCTTTCTTTTTGGTAATATTGGGAACATTTGTACAATTATTTGGAAATATTTGGGTTATACTTGCAAATGTAATGACTGGGTAGTAATTGGAAGGGAAATATACCTGCCCGCAATAACAGCAATTAATACCTGCACACAAATTTCCTCTTCATTTACTTCCCATCTCTTACATTTTTTTGCATTTGTTTTTTTACAACTGTCAGAGACCTACAACAGCAGCAGCAGCAGCAAGCCACTGAAAAGGAGATACAAAGCTGGAGTGGGGGGCAGGCAGTCTTTCCTTTTTTTTTTTTTTGAAGTAGCAGGAGAGTCAGGAAGGTATTGAACAGGCATTGAGAAGGGTCAGTTCAACAACTAAAGGTCAGAGGAGGGCACTGACAAGTGAGAGCTCACTAGCTGATCCCCGACCCTCATCCTATGATAAAATTACTCTCCAAGGGTCAAGTGCAACAAGACCCATCAGGCATCAAACCAGCCATGGATTGTCAAGGCGACTTGTTGACTCTTCCCGTTCCTAGCCTTTCCATTGTTTTCCCTTCCTTCCCAGCCACTTCTCATTCCTCCACTTGCAAAGCACACTGCCAGGCAGGAGCTTTGAAAGCAGAGAAAGCAGGAGCACCAGGTAGCGAATGGAAATGGCAGAACTTTCTTTTTGCGGCTGGAGACAAAAAGTCCTACATTTCCCAGCATTACCCGAATGGGGAATTCAGCTGGGATCGTACCGAGGACACTGCAGTTAGCTCTGAGTTGCACGACACCTTAAGTAGCGGTATTTCTCCTCGCTTGCAGGCTACTCGGCCCATTTTTTAATGTGTGACTGCTGCTGGGGCCTTCTGCATGCAAAAATACGCTTGTACCGTCTTGAGCTACGGGTGGAGATGGTAGAATTCCAGAAGGTAGCTCTATCCTACTATAGCATCTATGATCACAGAAACACGAAGCCGATTTGAATTAAATCTGGAGCCTAAACGCGGCAACGCCCTTCGCCTCGGGACGGGCGAGATAAATACATAAATAATTAAATAAACGGGCAAGCACGCGTCCCACAAAGCCTTGCGGCCGCGGGCGCGTGTGCACCTGGAGAGCTCGCCGGGAATTGTAGTGCGCTCGCCTTCGCAGAGGCGCGCCGCAGTGGCAGGGCTAGCGATGGAACTCGCTTTCCCGGCAGGGCTGGCGGGCGGCCGGAAAAGGTGGGGCGGGAGAGGCTGCGGTGGGGGAGAGGCGGGCGAGAGCGCTCAGTAGGTTTGGGCCGCACTCGGTGCAGCCGCCATTGCTGCCGCCGCCGCCGCCGCCGCTTGCCTAGAGGGAGCTGCGAGGTGAGTGCCGCGGCGCGTCTGAGGAGGGAGCCGAACGGAAACAGAAGCCCGGGCCTTGCCGCGGCCTCTTTTCTAGCCGCCCAGGTTTCCGGTCTGGGCCTGTTAAGCTAGGGAGCGCCTGGGCGTTGCCTCTCTTCCCCAACGGCCTCCCTCAGACTAGGGAAGGGTTAGGGGTTGCCGTCAGTAACAGCGGCCTGCTGGGGCTTTTCGTTCCGCTCTGCTAGTGAGCAGTATGAAAGAACGCGGGATTACCCAGTTCCACCCCATTTTAGGGGAGTCTGGTGGTAGCCCCATGCACATGCGTGTGTATGAATGCGCACACCCCCTGCCCGCGCGTGTATTATCAGTAGAGGGCTCTCTCGCCCGCGTGTTCCTGGGCGCTTTCTGGAATAAGGCGCTTGCAGGCTCGGAAGAAAAAGAAACGGCTCTTCGAAAGTTTTTGGCCACGGGGGAATAAGTTTTCTTGTTCATCGGGTGTGCGTCAAGCGCCTTGTGCAGCTATGGCTGATAAAACAAGTGTGTGAGAGTGTAGTAGGAGGGTCTCGAAGCCTAACGCCCCCTCCGCGCAGTCTGCAGGAACTTGATTTTAAAGATGAACATCATTAATTCAAGTTTTATTTGCAGGCTATCAGCGCTTTTCCCCATTCAAGTTCAGTGGGCATTATTTCTCAGTATAGATGCTTCTTCCAGAGGTCAAGTAGGAAGTGTACAGGAGAGTAAAAGGCCCTTCATTCTTTTGCTGCCTTTCTAAGTAGGTCTAAGTTGAGCTTTGGTCTGGGGAATTAAAATTTGGGTTCTTTTGATCTCATGGGAAGATAAATTATGAGCACTTGACTGAATCAGGGTGCATTCCATTAATTCGTAGACCAAAGCAAATAGTTCTACAACTTGTAGTATTTTTTGTGGCTAAACGTGCATTGGATTGTGCAATGAATAATTAGTGACTAATTTTCTTTACCAAGCAATGATGGACTTGAACACATATAATAGGCACTTTTTTGAATCAAACTCATGTATTAATGGACTGTAACTGTAACTTCAAAAGATTTTGCATACCTCAGCTCAGTCATCAAAAGGAGACTGCAGCCAAAAAATATGGAGAAGGCTGAGACTTGGAAGGACAGCAATGAAGGAACTAGAAAAGATAATCAGGTGTAAGGATATTTTACTGGAGAGCAGGGTCATGAATATTCAGGTAATTGTATTCCCACTCACAGTGCAAGGGTATGAAAACTGAACATTGAAGAAAGCTGACAGGAAAAAAACGATCTATTTGAAACATAGTGCTGGAGGAGAGCTTTGCAAATATCCTGGACTGACAGGGCAACAAGTGGATGCTAGATTAAATCAACCCAGAGCTTTCTGTAGAAGCAAACATGACAAAACAGGCTGTCATACTTCGGGCTTATCATGAGAAAGCAAAACTAACTGAAGACAATCCTATTAAAGAGAGCTGAAGACAGAAGATGAAAGGGAAGGCCAAATATGAGCTGGATTGAATTCATAAAGGAAGCCACAGACTTGAACTTGGAAGAATTGGACCAACCTGTCATGGACAGGACATTTTGGGGGTTTCATTCATAGGGTCACCGTAAGTTGGGGATGACTTAATGGCACATAACAACAACAGTACAACTATGGTCTTGGGGGACAATAGGATATGCTGCAGTCCTAGTGTGAACTCAGGAAGACATACTGAAGTTGAAGCTGCAGCTCTAACTTTGGAGGGCCCTTCCTCCACCCTCACAGCCAGCTCAGGTTTTTCCATGCTAGCTGGTCTCTGAAGACAAAAGACCATCTTTGGCATCAGCGTGTGAAGAGTGGCAATCTAGGGGAAATGAGGGAGCAAAGCACTTCCCTTCTCAGAAGAATTCTGGCAGCCTCACCTCCCCTTAAGAGGAGGTGAAAATGTTTAGAGTTTAGAACTGGCTAAGTGTTTCGGGGGGCAAGGGAAGTGCAGTGACAATCCCAGTTCCTGTGTTCTTCTCACCTTTTACTGGATACTGATAATTCCCCAAGTTCAGAGAGTAATGGGTAGCCATGTTGGATGGTGCCTTTAGATGGCAAAATTTATACATTATAGTTAATTAGTGAACATGAGTCCTCCAAGAAATTCTTAACATGTGTTGCTGATAACTTCCTCCAAAAGAAACTGGAAGAAGTAACTAGAGGAATAGCTATCCTTGACTTGATTCTAACCAACAGCGAAGACCTAGTGAACAAAGGGCAGCTACAGGAACTTGGGGAGCAGGGGAGGTGACCATGCCATACTTTAAATTTTGAGTCTAAAGGAAGCAAAAGCCAAATGTAGTCAAACACATAATCTGGTTTTAGATAAGCCAATTTTAATGAGCTCAGACGAGTTATACGTAAAGTCCTATGGCAAATGACACTGATGAGGAAACGAATTTTTAAAGAAGGCGCAATAACAAACAATTTCAACAAGGAAAGGGGTAGAAGACAACAGAAGAAGACCATGTGGCTTCACAAAAAGTTTAGTGATGATCTGGAAACAAAAAAGGACATGTAAGTGGAAGGAAGGCCAGGCTACAAAGGAAGGTTACAGGCAGGTCGCATGGAATTGCAGGGATGGCATCAGGAAGGCTAAAGCCAGGAATGAACTGAGGCTAGTGAGGGATGCTAAAAGCAACAAAAAAGTATTTTTCAGATAAGTCCAAAGTAAAAGACAGGAAAGAAATGGGGCTCAGCTACTCAATGTAGATGGCTAATGGTACCAGATGACAAAAGGCAAAAGTGTTCAATTCCTGCTTTGGCTCAAAAGGAAGAGCCATGACCTTCCTGTGGAAGAGGAAATACAAGCTGAAGGGGCGGGATTGCAGCTCAAGAGTGATAGGCAAATGGTCCAGGAGCATCTCGTTGGGTTGCATGAGTTCAAATCTCCAGGACCTGATGAACTTAGAGTCATAAAGGAGCTGGTGGAAAAACTCTTCGAAACACTGTTTATTATCTTTGAGAAATCATGGAGGACAGGGGAACTGCCAGATGACTGGAAAAGGGCTAATGTCCTTCAGGAAAGGAAAAAAAGGAGAACCTGGGAACTACAGACCAGTGAGTCTGACATCAGTCCCTGAGAATATTCTGCAGCAGATGATAAAGTAGTCTGTCTGGAAGCACCTTGAACACAATGTAGTGATTACTAGAAGCCAGCATGGATTTCACAAGACGAAATCCTGCAAGAGTAATTAATTTCATGTTTTGATTGGGCAATCTCCCTGATGGACTGAGGAAATGCTGTGGACATCAGTTAGCTTGACTGCAGCAAACCTTTTGACAAAAGTGCCCCATGATATCCTGATTAGCAAACTAGCTAAAAGTGGACTTGGTGGGACAACTATCAGGTGGATCCACAGTAGGCTGCAGACTCAAACTCATTGAGTGCTCATCAATGGCGGCACCTCAAACTGGGTAGGGGTAACAAATGGGGCACTACAGGGTTTAGTCCTGGGCCCAGTGCTCTTCAACATTTTTATTAATGACTTGGATGAGGAAGTGCAGAGCACACTTAACAAATTTGCCAATGGCACAAAACTGGGTGGGATTGCTAACACCCTGGAGGAGAGAAATAGGATTCAAGGTGAACTGAATGAAATTTAATAGGGATAAATGCCAAGTTTTGCACCTAGCAAAAAGGAACCAAATACATTGTTACAAGATGGGGAATATGTGACTTGGAATTGTTGTGGATCACAAGCTGAATATGAGTCAACAATGTGTTGTGGCTGCAAAAAAGGGCAAATGCGATTTTAGGTTGCAATAACAGAAGTATTACTTCCAAATCACATGAAGTACTAATTCCCCTTTTCACAGCACTGCTTGGGCCTCATCTGGAGTACTGTTTCCAATTGAGAGCACCACAGTATAAGAAAGATGCAGAAAAAGTTGGAAAGGGTGCAGAGGAGGGCATGAAGGATGCTCTGGGGAGTGGAAACAAAGCCCTTTGAGGAGAGATTGAAAGAATTAAGCATGTTTATCCTTGAGAAGAGAAGACAAAACTGAGGGGAGAGATATTAGCACTCTGCAAGTACTTGAAAGGCTGTCACAAAGAGGAAGGGCAGGCTCTCCTTGATCATCCCAGAGTGCAAGACATGAAATAACAGACTCAAGTTGCAGGAAGCCAGGCTCTGGCTGAACATCAGGAAGAACTTCCTGACTGTTCCAGCAGTACAAGAATGAAACCAATGAAACATAGAAACAGAGCGAGTCAGAAGGGTCCTCCCGGGCCATCTAGTCTGACCTCCGGCACGAGCCGGCTCCACTCACAACATGCCCACCATGTGGACGTCCAGCCTATCCTTGAACACCCACACCGATGGGGCCTCAACGACCTCTCGTGGAAGCCCATTCCACACCCCTGGGGTCCTGACTGTCAGGAAGTGCTTCCTGGCATCCAAATGGAACCTTGGCTCCCTGAACTTTGCTCCATTGGAGTGTGTCCTGCTTTCCACTGCAGGGGAGAACAGGTCTCTACCCACCTCCGTGTGACATCCCCTCACATACCTGAATGTCGCCAACATATCCCTCTGAGTCTCCTCATTTCCAGGCTGAAGAGACCCAGTTCCCTCAGTCTCGCCTCATACAGCATCCCCTGCAAACCGGCCACCAACCTTGTGGCCCTACGCTGCACTGACTCCAACCTGGCTATATCCTTTCTGTAATGAGGGGCCCAAAACTGAACACAATACTCCCAATTGTGGGCACACCAGAGTCATGTAGAGTGGTAGTAATACCGCTCATGATCTAGAAGCCACACTTCTGGCTATGCAACCAAGGGTGGCATTCGCCCTCTTGACCACCGCATCACACTACTGACTCATGTTTAGCCTGCAGTCGACCAGTACCCCAAGGTCCCTTTCACAAGTGCTGCTCTCCAGCCACTTGTCACCTAACCTGTACTTATGACAGCTATTCCTATGCCCCAAGTGCAAGACCTTGCACTTACCCACATTGAACGCCATCCTGTTGTCTCCTGCCCACTTCCA